ACCGCCATTTCAACTCAACAGGTGTTAATCTCTTCCTCAATTCTTCTTCTCTTCATCAATTCTTCTAAAATACCTACAGGTGTACGCAATTCACTTCAAAGGTTCAAGTGGTTGATTGATGAGTGTTTGTTTTTAAAGCTTGAAACATGTAGACAAAGATTGGCTTTGTTTGTTGGAAGGAAGATCTGTGTAAACAGCGGTGTGAGGTTTATTGAGTCGCTTAGATAAATGGGCTTATAAAAATGAATTACAATGTCAAAATAGCAATAATATGTTGCAAAGGTAATAAATCTAGAGAAAAGGGAGATATTTCGAGCTTTGTCTTGCACTTTGTCTTGTACTTTTTCTCATTTTTAACTGTTTGAGGTTCGATTGAGTGTTGATCAGGTTTAAAAGACTAAACTCTCTTTCTTCCTTTCTTCTTCCTTGTTCTTCCTATTTCTGCTTTGGCTGATGGCTGATGCTCTACCACTAAGCAGGCGCTGATAGCTCAGTGGTAGAGCATTAGCCCAACCAGCAGAAGGTTTACTGTATCATTTACTCTTAAGAGATTAGAACATTTTTTATTATTATTGTACTTCATTTATTATTCTTGTTGAATCAGTTACCCAATTAAGTCGTTCAACTTAATAGAACTTATAGAAGCTTTATAGAACGAATGCTTTATAGAATTGTAACGCTTGGAATCCAAGAATCCAACAGGAAAGTATCCAAAAACTAAACGGGGCTAAAAATCTATCAAATTGAATTTTGGCTTCCTATTTGGCTTCACTATTTCCCCTCACTATTTGGTTTTTCTTTTCTTTGAGTGAATCCTTTCAAGGGCAAACGTTCCAGCTTTCAAGGCAAGGAGGCATACCTGAAAGAGCTCAAGAGGCTGGATCCGGCTCTCTCAACCCCTTGGCAACGAGGCGAGTCAAAAGCCTGGAACTCTGAGACTGTACCTCTTATCCCTTCTTTATATTCTTTTCCCCTCCCTCTATTCCTTTCCCTCTTTTCCTTTTCCTCTTTTCCTTTCCCTCTATTCCTTTTCATCCAATCCTAGGCCGGTCTCCGTCTTTTTTTCCGTCCATCTTTTGCATGCAGATGTCTTTTGTCCGTTGTCTTCTCTTCTCTCCCTTCGCCTAAAGGATCGGCATTGACCCGCAACCAACACCCCTTTATCCATCAACCCCACAAACCTCTTTCTTCTCGAGTTTTACTAAACATAAAAAACTCTCGAGAGCAGTAATTATGAGCCTAGTTCTTTCGTCCTTTCTGGTACAGAAGACTTAGACTTGGATGAGGACAGAGAATGGCAAGAAGTTGAAATGAATGGCCTTGATTTCGCTTTCTTTAGTAGTATATAGTAAACAAGTGGTATGGGAGAATTGAATGGGTTTATTTGAAAAGGAAAGGCATGAGGACAAGACTTTATTGCTCATATATTGATCACTTTAGGATAAGAAAAAGAGTTGAACGATTTTAAACGATTTTGAATGATTTTAAACGATTTTGAACGATTTTAAACTCAAAAATTTGTTTTTCTAGATGTTTTAGTACTTCTTTAGTATCGATAACGATTTTTTTTCAACCTTATCTCATTGATTTATCTTAAAACTTGTCATTAAAACTTGTCAACTAAGTCTTAAGACTTTAAAGCATTACTAGATAGCTTAGGTTATGTTAATTTTTGACTTTAAAGCATTATTAGAAAGCTTAGACTTTATAGATTCTACTAGTTTTTGAGTTTTTCAAAATCTATCACAAAAAAAGTGTTTAAATTTTGAGTTAAAGTCTGGCAAAATCTTAAGACTAAAGAAGTAAATTAGTTTAAAAAAAAACGATTTCATTTCAACATCTATTTACCGAGAAGTCGATTTTGAAAGACTCACCATATTTGGGTGAGTCATTCGGGTGGTATTTCCGTTGATTTCTCCTCAATTGCTCATCCAATAGCGAAAGGACAGAGCCAATCCGGGGGATCTAAACAATTCAAACGGGCATAGGCCAAGGGAATACTCAATCCCTCTTCTCAATCTCATTTCTCTCAATTCTCAGCCTCTCTATCTCCATCGACTACTCACCAAAACCCCTTTGGGGCGGCCATTACGAAACGAACCCCGAAAAAGGCTTTTTGAAAAGGGGAAAGAGATGGTTTGAAAAGGGGAAAGAGATGGGTGGTTGAATGGGATGTAAAAGTGGGCTGAGAGCTGACCACTACTAGCACTTTGCTTGAAAAAGGAAATTATTCGTAGTTTTCTTTCACCAAAAATGCTTTTATACTTTTTTAGTAGTTTTAACAACTGTTTTACATTGTAAAATGATAGAAACATCTCTAAATTTCGATTTTTTTCGCTATAAAACTTCATAACTCTATAATTAACTAAAAAATCGGTTTAAAATCCTAGAAATCTATATAAAAATAAGCAGAAATAACGCTTCTAACGTTATTTGAATAAATTGCAATAAGATTAGAACGATTTCTTTATTTGAACCTGTTTGAAAATGATAGGAATTTGAAATGATAGGGAACAAATGATGAGAAAAATGATAGGAAAAAATGATAGGATTTCAATCTCGTATCGTAAACGTAAATGATGATTTTGTAAACAATATTTGTGCATATTTTTTGCATAGAAAATGCCAAGTCTAGTTGCCAAGCCTAGTCTCCTAGTCTAGTTGGCAAGTCTAGTTGGCAAGCCTAGTTGTCTAGCTTCCTAGTCTACTTGCCTAGTCTACTTGCCTAGTTTCACTGCCTAGTTTCACTGCCTAGTTTCACTTAAACTTGAAACTAGACTAGGCAAGTAGACTTACTTGCCTAGTCTAGTTTCAAATTTAAGCCATGTTTTGTATTTTTAGTGATTTAAAGTGAAAAATCGCAAAAATCGAGGCTTCAACGCACTGCAACTCTTCTAATTAGCCTTCTAAATACTTCTGAACTCCATTTCTTTACAATAAAAGCTTTCCTTATAAGCGAAACTTATAAAAACAACGATTAAATAACTTCTATAACTTCTATAACTTGAATAACTTGGGGGTGGGACAAATGCGACCTTTTTTTTGCGCACCTGGACATTCGCGCACCTTTTTTTTGCTGGAAAAGGCCCTAGGCAAGGCCGTAGAGCTTCGAAAATATTTCGAAAATATTTCCATATAAGGGAATCGTATGCGTAGATTCCGAATTTTGACAAATCAGACCTCGCTGACACGTCAAATTTGGGTTAAAAGGCAAAAACTACGCAACTTAACGCTTTTCCGCAGTTTTTGCCTTTTAGCCCAAATTTGACGTGTCAGCGAGGTCCGATTTGTCGAAATTCGAAATCTACGCATACGATTCACTTACGTGGAAAAATTTTCGAAGCTCTACGGCCTGGCCTAAGGCCTTTTCCAGCAAAAAAAAGGTGCGCAAATGTCCAGGTGCGCAAAAAAAAGGTCTCATTTGTCCCACCCCCAATAACTTAAATAAAAGACTCAATAAAATAAAATAACTTCTAAAATTGATATGTTAACATCTAAGGCCTTGTTGTTAACATCTAAAACATAACATGTTAACATCTAAAGCTTCTCAGAACAATTACAGCTATTGCACTGCAACTCTCGTAAAAATTACAGCTATTTTAGAGATACAGTTGGCTCAAAATGATTCATAAACCCATAATTTCATCATTTTACTATTATATTATCATTATTTACTTCTAAATAGATTGTTAATTCAAAAATTGAACTTTTTTAAGACTTTGAACTATTTTTGACTTAGCCCACGGTTCTGAAGAGCCGGGTATTTCCCTCTCTTTCTTCCTTTCTTCTTCCTTGTTCTTCCTTGTTCTTCCTATTTCTTCTTTGGCTGATGGTTGATGCTCTACCACTAAGCAGGCGCTGATAGCTCAGTGGTAGAGCATCAGCCCAATAAGCAGAAGGTAAGGAGAAACTCGAGAAAGGAGAAGATCGAGGGTTCAATTCCCCTGGGTTCTAGGTTTTTTTTCCTTTACTTTTCCTGATTTCATGAGGTTCATTTAAAGAACTGCTGCTTTCAATCTCTTCTGCATCTCAGCGAAATTCTTTGCCATTCATTTCTTTACTTTCTCTGCAAAGTTACTTGATCTAGATCTTTACTTTATCTTTACTTTTCTATCGGCAAAGTTTTAAGATGATTTGTTGAGTTCTTTATCGAAAATCCAATCAAAATCCAATTCAAAACCATCCAAAATCATTCAAAATCATTCAAAACCATCCAAAATCATCCAAAATCATCCAAAATCATCCAAAATCATCCAAAATCATCCAAAACCATCCAAAACCATTCAAAATCCAATCGAAATCCAATCCAAAACCATCCAAAACCATCCAAAACCATCCAAAACCATCCAAAACCATCCAAAACCATCCAAAATCATCCAAAATCATCCAAAATCATCCAAAATCATCCAAGATCATTCAAAATCTCAAATCCAAAACCTTAAATCCAAAACGCTAAGTGTACGAACCATTTTGAACGCTACTTTAGTTCAACTCTGACATATTCGTCTAAATTTTGCAATAATCTTTGCAATTCTAACTTTCAGCAGGTGTCTTTCACCCAAAGGCCTTTCAATTTCTTTCCTATCAATATCTTAGTGGTTTGGGGTGACCCTTTGGTGTCCTCAGCCCAATTACGCAAGGTGGTCCATGAGATTTTCGCTTGACCGGGGATGATAGATCGAGTCTAGATGAGAGACGGGTAGAGATGGAGGGAGAGCAGAATTCAAATGGTGCTCGGTGGCGGGCGCCCACGCAGCCGCAGCCGCGCTTGAATCGTGGGGGCGGTGCCTCGCCGCCCAACTCTCAACCAATCATCGACAACTCCCCCCATCCAGCCCTATTTAAGGGATACAAGGGGAAAGAGACGGGCACAGCCGCTTTTTCATTTCCCTTCGTTCTCCACCTTTCTCATATCCATCTCCTCAGTGCTCAGTTTTGCTCAGTTTTGCCCATTTTTGAACTGCTCGTGTGCTCTTCAATTTCCTTGATTTCTAGAGAAAATGTGCGACGACGAGGTTGCAGCTCTTGTTGTGGACAATGGATCCGGAATGTGCAAGGTGGGTAGAAGATTTTTGGAAAGTACTGTGCTTTTCTTGGAGCTGGCTTATCAAATTTGAATAACTAGGGGTTTATCAGGGTTTGGAAAAGAAAATAGTGGCTTTTGAAAGAAAGCAAAGTCTTAGAAGGATGCTTTCAGAGCAAACTAAAAGAATTGAAGACTCAGCAAGATAATAAACAAGATAATAAATAAGATAATAAAGCAGGTTTTTAGCATGATTAGCTGATTAGCTGATTAGCTGCTTAGCTTTTTAGCTGATTAGTTTTTTAGCTGCTTAGCTTTTTATTTGATTAGCTGATTATTTTTTTAGCTGATTAGCTTTTTATTTGATTAGCTGAGTATCTTTTTAGCATAGAAAATTAGTATTTTGAAAGCTTTCAGCTGAAAACTTTGAAATTTTTATTGATAAATAGTTTCGTTTGACATTTCAAGTCAATATTTTGACAAGTTTGACTTCTTTAATCATTTCCAAAGTGCATAGAGCTTGATTTGTAGTATTTGAATAGTATTTGGACAGAACAGAAGCAAAGTTTTTGAACTTTTCATTACCAATTCATTCAACTAACCAATCCATTCACATCATTCAATTCATTCAAATCATCATTTACATTTGAACTAATCAATTCATTCACATCTAGCTACTGTTTTCAAAAACACTTTCTCATTCTACTGATATAGAGTCTGACGATTCCATTCACCGAAAAGAATGGCCTGCATTTGATCACTCTCCCCAACAGACAATGTCACTGACCCACTTTCCCAGTCAAATCCAATCCTTTCACTCTCTCTTTCAGTCTCTTTCAGTCTCTTTCAGTCTCTCACAATCCTTTCATTGTTTTTCCATCATTGATCACAAAAGAACATTATGATTTTTCAAACAAAATCCCACAAAACACCCTAGGAAATTGATTCGAAACGCATCGAAAATGCAAAAGCGGTAGAAGGGGTCACTCTGGTGGATTGGAGAGATGCAAAAAAGACGGAGTGGGGTTTCCCGGGCAATCTATGGGCCTTCCCATGCACTGACCGGCACTTCACTCTTTTTTTTCTGAGCAGCGCGTCTAGTAAGACGTCCCTTTGACCCCAATCTTCTCTCTCTCCTCTGGCTTGGACATTGCCCATTTTTAGTCTCTTTGCCTATAAGAAAGAATATGCGTCCCCGTCAACAAATACCGGCCAACAAATATTTGAATTGTGCGTGCCATGACTAAGTACTTCGTGCTGCTTGGGCTGAGGAGGAAAAGGTTGCTCCATTCAACAAATCGCACCAACACCAACACACAATACCCACACTTTTTTTTCGTGTTATTGTCAATGAAATAGAGAAAGGCTGTCGAAAAATCAATTTTGATCAATTTAGAATAGGATTTGTGAAATGATAAAAGAAGGAATAAAGAAATGAAAGAGAAGAGAAGAAAATGAAAAGCCAGCTCCAAGAAAGTAGGGGGAAACTTGTACTAGAATCCAATAGAATACTTGTACTAGAATCTAATAGAATACCTGTACTAGAATCTAATAGAATACCTGTACTAGAATCCAATAGAATACTTGTACTAGAATCCAATAGAATACTTGTACTAGAATCCAATAGAATACCTGTACTAGAATCTACTGTAATCCAATAGTTCAATAGTCCTGTAAACAGCTACTACTTGTTCAAGTCCAAAAAATTATCCAATTCTTCTCTAGGCCGGTTTCGCCGGTGATGACGCTCCTCGAGCTGTCTTCCCCTCGATCGTTGGACGTCCCCGTCATCAGGGAGTCATGGTCGGAATGGGACAAAAGGACTCCTACGTCGGAGATGAGGCTCAATCCAAGAGAGGAATCCTCACCCTCAAGTACCCCATTGAGCACGGTAAGGGATTTCTTACAATCCCTTCATTCTGTGCTTTTCAGGAATCGTCACCAACTGGGATGACATGGAGAAGATCTGGCATCACACTTTCTACAATGAGCTCCGTGTTGCTCCAGAGGAACACCCCGTTCTCCTCACCGAGGCTCCACTCAACCCAAAGGCCAACAGAGAAAAGATGACCCAGGTGAGGGATTAAACTTCAAGACTTAAATAGTAGCTCGAGAATTTTTTAATTAAACGATCTGTCACGTTCAAAATCGGTGCTGTGTCCGAATCTGTCCTCTGGATTGAATCCGATGCAAGCTGTATTCAAATCCGTGCAAATAAGCTATTTCTATAGTAGTGTACATAGTACTAACCCGTACTGTGCATAGTATTGATCCGTAGTGCTTAGTACTGATCCATACTGTACATAGTATTGACCCGTAGCACTCAGTACTAGCCCGTGCTTGCATAGTATTGGTCCATAGTACATGGTACTGATCCAGACTGTACATAGTCTTGGCTCGTAGCATTTAGTACTAACCCGTACTATGCATAGTATTGGTCCGTAGTACATGGTACTGGTCCGTACTGTACACAGTATTGGTTCGTAGTACATGGCACTGGTCCGTCGTATTTTGTACTGATCCGTACCGTACATAGTACTTGTCCGTACTGGACATGGTATTGGAGTAAATCGATAAATGCTTTTTGTTATCAAGTCATAAAATTATGTAGATAGAAATAGATTCTTATAGAACAGCACTACGGACCAGTACTATGTACAGTACTACCCATATTTACATCAATTTAAATACAATTTGTATCGGATTCGATTCAAAGAACATATTCGGACGTCCTGGTTTAGAAGCTGCACCGGATTCGCATTTAACAAATCTAACGTTCTCATTTCCAGATCATGTTCGAGACCTTCAACTCTCCAGCCATGTACGTCGCCATCCAAGCCGTTCTCTCCCTCTACGCCTCTGGACGTACCACCGGTATCGTGTTGGATTCCGGAGATGGAGTCTCGCACACCGTTCCCATCTACGAGGGATACGCTCTCCCACACGCCATTCTTCGTCTCGACTTGGCCGGACGTGATCTCACCGATTATCTCATGAAGGTGAGCTTATAGAAGAGTTAAATGAACACAAAATGAGCTTCACATCGCTTAAGATCCGAAGTTCAAAACGATCGTATCGTAAACGACGATAAAAACGATCCAATTCTCTTTTCGATCTTAAAACAATCTCTTTTCCAGATCCTCACCGAGCGTGGCTACTCTTTCACGACCACTGCCGAGCGTGAGATCGTTCGCGACATCAAAGAGAAGCTTTGCTACGTGGCGTTGGACTTCGAGCAAGAGATGGCCACCGCTGCCGCCTCATCTTCTCTCGAGAAATCCTATGAGCTTCCCGACGGACAAGTGATCACCGTCGGAAACGAGCGATTCCGTTGTCCAGAGGCTCTCTTCCAGGTAGAGTTGCTTGGCACTTAACTAGAACTAGAACTAAAACTAGAACTAGAACTAAAACTAAGGGCTAGAACTAAAACTAAGGGCTTTATCAGACTCCACTATTTCAAAATCCGACTCATTCCAAGTCCAAGTATGCAAAGAATTTCGAAAATCTCTCAAAATCTCTCAAAATTTCCATTCCATATCTATATCTATCGAAAGAGGGATATTTGGGGGATCTATAGAATATCTATAGAATGTGAGTGGAATGCACATCTGTCACATTCGTCCTATTCTTCCTTTCTTTTCTCCAATCCTTAGAGTTGTTGAAAAGAGTGGTCTCCTTTAAAGAGAGCTCTCTTTTTGAAGAGAGAAACGTTCTTTCATTTGGTGTTCCATTCGTGTTTCTGGATTTCTCTCATCCGTCTCCTCCATTTCTCTCTCGGGAGTTCGCGTGTTTATCGCGGCTAATATCTGACCTCCAGATCCCATCAGTGCCAATTGAATCGCCCAAAATGGGAAAGAGATCTTCTGGATGAAGAAGAGAAAAGGGATAGACCGGGAACAACCAATAATGATATTGACACATCGTATATGGGGATATAGTGGGTGTAAAGTTGTGCAAAGAGCTAAAAAGAGAAACTATAAGGGCTACGTCAGAAATCAAAGCTCAATCAATCAATTTCAGTAAACAATTTCAACTTTTAGCCCTCGTTCTTGGGAATGGAGTCGGCCGGTATCCACGAGACATCGTACAACTCGATTATGAAGTGCGATATTGACATCAGAAAGGACTTGTACGCCAACACCGTACTCTCTGGAGGAACCACCATGTACCCAGGAATTGCTGATCGTATGCAGAAAGAGATCACCGCTTTGGCTCCAAGGTGAGAGTTTGAAATAAAAGAAATAGTTAACCAAACTAGTGTTGTAAACAAAAATCTAAGATTCTAAAAGCTTTCTTGTGAATTTAAGTGATTATAATGATTTGTCTAGACTTTAACAACTGCAATAAGATTAGAAATAGTGAACAATATCCTGATACTCTAATAGAAGAGCCTATAGGAACGTCGTGTAGTCTAAGTTTACACTCAAAGAATTCAATAAACACTACACTCAAACAAACGCTCATATCTCGACACCAGTAGCTTTATTTCTGCTCATTTTGGTATTAAATTAAAGTAAAGAAAATGGGTAATCTTTTGAGATATAACACATCTTTTTAGCATTAACCAGCGCTTAGAAAAAATGATTGAAAATTGGCAAAAAAACCCCGATTCTTCATCATTTTTCAATCATTTTTTCTAAGCGCTGGTTAATGCTAGAAATATTTGTTATATCTCAAAAGATTACCCATTTTCTTTACTTTAATTTGATACCAAAGCGAACAAAAACAAAGGTACTGGTGTTGAGATATAAGCGTTTGTTTGAGTGTAGTGTTTATTGAATTCTTTGAGTGTAAACTTAGACTACACGACGTTCCTACAAGAGTATTTACTTTAATAGGACTTCTATTAGGCTCAGGACTTCTATTAGAGGCTTCTATTATAGTATTCACAATGGCTACCAAGAAAGAATCAAAATCAAAAATCTAGAATCAAAATCATACTCCATTTCTTATCGCAATCACTTTTCAGCACGATGAAGATCAAGATCATCGCTCCACCAGAGAGGAAATACTCAGTGTGGATCGGTGGCTCAATCCTGGCCTCACTCTCCACCTTCCAACAGATGTGGATCTCGAAGCAAGAGTACGACGAGTCGGGTCCATCGATCGTTCACCGCAAGTGCTTCTAAACGTTCGCTCTCGTTCTCCAATCAAAAAACCCCACACAAAAAAAGTTGCTTTCTTCCCCTATCACAAGTGCATTCCATAAAAAAAAGACAAAAACGCTTTGCCAGAAATCTCATCATCTTTCTATTTCTAGCAACATTCCCGTTTTTTTCATCGTCATAATACTTTTCTTTTTTCACAAAATTTGCCTTTTTTCGACCCTATTAGCGAATGGGAAACAAGATTTTGTAAACATTAGATACTTGGTGCACTGATCATTGATTAGTTATTGATTATTGATCAGTTATTGAGCATTGATCAGCTATTGAGCATTGATTGATCATTGATTGAGCATTGATTGATCATTGATCAATTATTGAGCATTGATCAGTTATTGATCATTGATTGATCATTGATTGATCAGTTATTGATCAATTATTCACCATTGATTGATTATTGACCAATTATTCACCATTGATCAGTTATTGACCAGTTACTTGTTCACTTTTTATTAGTTTCCCATTCTTTCTTTCCCCTTCCAAATTTTTCCTCACATAGTAGAGACATTTCTTTTGTCTGTACATTTTTACGTGTGCTATATTTGTTTGAGCGGTTAAGCGATAAAAAAAGTTAAATTATTTTCCTGCTAAACTTGAAAGAAAAACAAATTCGATAGCAAAAAAAGCGTTGTGAGTAAACAAATTGTGTTTTATTTGTTTTATTCAACAAAAATCATTGTTTTCTATGATTTTTCTTATCTATTTGTTTAAATAAGCAAGATTTTATAATAAATTATTTCAAAAAAGAAATCTTGAAGCCTTCGGGAATTCTGAAATTGCATAAAAGAGACATAGGAACGTAAGAAAACTTCAAGTTGATTCAAATGTATTGGGTTGGCGAATTGAAAACTGCGGGCTGTAAAGGCTGTAAAAGCTAAGTTCCGTATCTCTTTTACCAGATTACATCAATTGCTAAGCTTAAAGTTGCTTTGGAGTCGACTTGAAGTGACATTTCGGTGACCAAGTGCATGACTATGGTTTGAAAGCGACCATAGCTTTGAAAGCTCAGCAAATTTCTTGAAAAAAACAGAGCTTTTTGGGCATCTTTTAATCTTTAAGCATCTTTAATGTCTTTTTTCTTGACCTATGTTGTTGTTAAATGTGCTAAATTCGTTTTCTTGTTTGATTTTATTGGGTTGGTGATTTGAAAACTGCCGGCTATTGTCATCTGTGACAGTTTGAGCACTTTCTTCAAAAGAAACCCATTTTGGTGTCAGTAGAAAAGTTGTAGAGAATCAAAAATTAGGCTTATAGCCAAATTTCCAAAAAGATACACTTAGTAGTTTCGCTTAAAATGCAAGTCTTGTGAAAATTCGTAAATTTGGCACTTCTTGAAAACCAGCTTTTGAATCGTTCTGAAAATTTGGATATAAGCTTAATTTTTGATTCTCTACAACTTTTCCATTGACACCAAAATGGGTTTCTTTTGAAGAAAGTGCTCAAACTGGGAGTCCAGTCTCCATCTCCAGTCCTCCATTTTTGAGTCTCACACTTGTCTCACACACAAACCAAAATCCTACTACGAAAGAGGAATCCGCAAATTGCCTGTAAAATGGGCAGAAGTCGTCAATAATAATGGAAATTATTTGGAATGAATTTATGGTTTTATGCTGAATAAATTTTAGTTCAAAGTCTCGCAGTTTTCAATTCACCAACCCAATATTCCAAAAATACCCAAAAACATCCAAAATTTTGCCTTAATAGCCAACTTTTCATAATTTTATAAGTTATTGCATTCATTTACATCTGTTTTTAGCGAAAAAAACCCAAATTCGATCAGATAACACTTTCTAAAATGATCAAATAGATCAAATGCCAATGAAAGCAAATGATTCAAGACTTAGACTAAACAAAGTTGAAAAGAAAAAAATGATTCGAGAAGATTCGTCAGTTTTTTGATTGAAATGTGAATAGATAGAGAAGAATTTTGAGAAAGTTTTGAAGAAATTGCTTTCTAAAAGGAATTGGTAAGAATTGGTAAGAATTGGTAAGAATTGCTAAGAGTTTATCAAAAAGTACGCAACTACAGGGTGATCAGAAAGAACCCGGAAAAACCTTTTTAACTCAATCTTCACATATGGAATAAATACCTTTAAAAATTGTTAATTATATACTCTTCGTACTAGGTTAAGGAAAAAGTCCTGTCTCAACTGCGAAAAATTCGATCTTTAATAACAAAAATAACAACAATGATTCCTCAAAGTATAACCCATCATTATCTACGACTTTCTGCTATTGATCTGCAAGCTTTCGGATCTGATCGACGTACCACTCCTTTCAAATCAAATCTCGAGTGCTTGAGAAAGGCTCAGTGTCCAATTCGGCTTACAAATCACCATATAAACCATCACTATCTACGACTTTCTGTCATCGATCTGCAAGCTTTCGGATCTGGTCAAAGTACCAATCCATCGGTTTCAAATCAAAGAACTCTTAGAAAGCTTCTTCAACTTCTTCAAACGTTTCCGTTTCCAGCAATAGCGGATCAAAACTCGAAGCTCTTTTTCTTTTTCTGGAATACAAAGATCAACATTGGTGCAACACTATAAGTGCAAAAAAAAATGCAAAAAAAATGCAAAAAAATGCATAAAAATGAATTTTTCGCAGCTGAGTCGGGACTTTTTCCTCAACCTAATAACTTAAGTTTAAAAGATTTAGATCCTAGTTCTAGTTCTAGAAATAACCATTCTAGAAATACACAAATAACCAAAGTTCTAGGAGTTGAAAGAAGCAGCTTGGACAAATCCTCTAGAACCGCTGCTCTTTTTGCACAGACGCGTTACGTAGAAATTCCTGATTGCAAAAATGCTTTTGCAGAAAAGGTAAGTTCAAATTTGGCTCTACAAAATGACACCAAAACCATCAAAATCGGCGCACTAGTTTTGCAGATACAGGCACGCAAAGTGATGCGGTCAAAGGCTTAGTTTGGATTATATATAATAAGATATATAATAGATAATAGATATAGATGTAACATATATAATAGATACCATCGCTTGGCAACTTTTATCTTTATGAAACTCACGGTGAACTCCAACTCGATATCGTGTGCACAATCAAAAGTGATCTCGAGTTCGGTTTGATTTAGAGATGCTTGTGGGATGCCGATCAATTGGTACTGAAATTTCGCATTGTTTACAAATAAGAGAATGATGAAAACCTATAAATAGTTTCATTTTATTGCAATTTAATAAGGTTTATCGTTTACAGTTACAATTTTGCGTTTACAGCTTACATCAATCTTCACTCAATGTTACCTGGTTAATGTTCAGCTCCAATGTCTCAGTTGTGATCCCCTTGATCAGCAGATTTCCTTGAGCATGGTGAAACAATAAGCAAAATATAGAAAAGATATGTAGATCTTTAAAGTAAAGCTACATATGGAGAAAGTTAATTGATTAAAAAAATATGAAATTAGTTCGGATTCGGACGTCCGAATCCGAACTAACCTTTTTAGGCGTCCGCATCCAAACTGATTCCATATATTTTTTTACTAGATTAACTTCACATGAATCTATAAGACTTGCTCTACAAAATGACACCAAAATCATCAAAATCGGCGCACTAGTTTTGCAGATACAGGCACGCAAAGTGGTGCAGTCAAAGGCTTAGTTTGGATTATATATAATAAGATATATAATAGATATAGATGTAACATATATAATAGACACTATTGTTTGACAACTTTTATCTTTATGAAACTCACGGTGAACTCCAACTCGATATCGTGCGCACAATCAAAAGCCGTATAACAACAATTATGCTAAAAGTATAACCCATTATTATCCAGGAATTTCTGCCATCGATCTCCAAGCTTTCGGATCTGGTCAAAGTACCACTCCTTTCGAAACTTTTGCTCCCAAAACTTTCCCGACTTTATCTCTTTTTCTTTATTGAGTTTCACTTTCTCATCTGAATAAAGCATCATTATTTATTCTTGATACAATCCATAATCATGTCGAATATGAAAATCTAGCTTGATTAATTGAGATACTCAATCAAGAAACTATAAAGTTGCCTTGTAAGCAAATTTTCTCAAATTGTTGTGGATAAACAGTTTGGATCTTTGTCCAACTTTTACTATTGTTAGCTTTTGAGAGGATAGATGATCAACGTCAACCCCCACTTTCACAATTCGTCAAAAAACTTGTATTTTCAAAGCTCGATTTTTGGGGATTATTGGAAAAGTTTTGCAATAACTAGCGGAAAACTAAAAAAGGGGAGCCAAGTCCGTCCACTCCAAATGACACCTTCAAATTGTGGCCTTCTTTTCCTCGCCACGTAAGGAATTTTATAGTCTTTTTTTTTGCGCTTAGTTCGTCACATGGTTTTAAATTGTTTAAAGGTTAAAGTTAAGTCAATTTGATAGCTTTGAATAGCTTTGGATAACTTTTAAAGCCTTTTCTAGCCACTGGATTCCTTCTGGATTTGAGAATTTTTAATTGCGCATTGGGAAGTTGTTTTTTTTCTGAAACAACTTTTGAGATTAATTCTATTTTTAGTTCTAATCTATTTATCTATCTAAAACGTGTCCTCTAGCACTTAAAAATCGACTTTTCAAAACGACTTAGCTGTTTACTTCTGGGAAGACAATTTTTGAGTACGAATTGATTACCTTGATAGTACTTTGATTCAAATACATCTTTCAGTCAATAAACTATTTTTAGAAATGATTTGGCGACTATTTTCTATATTTTGCTTATTGTTTCACCATGCTCAAGGAAATCTGCTGATCAAGGGGATCACAACTGAGACATTGGAGCTGAACATTAACCAGGTAACATTGAGTGAAGATTGATGTAAATTGTAAAGGCAAAATTGTAACTGTAAACGCAAAATTGTAACTGTAAACGCAAAATTGTAACTGTAAACCCAAAACTGTAACTATAAACGCAAAACTGTAACTGTAAACGCAAAAATGGTAACTGTAAACCCAAAACTGTAACTATAAACGCAAAACTGTAACTGTAAACGCAAAGCTGTAACTGTAAACGCAAAACTGTAACTGTAAACGATAAACCTTATTAAATTGCAATAAAATGAAACTATTTATTTGTTTTCATCATTCTCTTATTTGTAAACAATGCGAAATTTCAGTATCAATTGATCGGCATCCCACAAGCATCTCTAAATCAAACCGAACTCGAGATCACTTTTGATTGCGCGCACGATATCGACTTGGAGTTCACCGTGAGTTTCATAAAGATAAAAGTTGTCAAGCAATGGTATCAATTATATATTTTACATCTATATCTATTTTCTATTATATATCTTATTATATATAATCCAAACTAAGCCTTTGGCCGCATCACTTTGCGTGCATGTATCTCCAAAACTAGTGCGCCGATTTTGATGGTTTTGGTGTCATTTTGTAGAGCAAGTCTTATAGATTCATGTGAAGTTAATCTAGTAAAAAAAATATGGAATAAGTTTGGATGCGGACGCCTAAAAAGGTTAGTTCGGATTTGGACGTCCGAATCCGAACTAATTTCATAGTTTTTTAATCAATTAACTTTCTCCATATGTAGCTTTACTTTAAGGATCTACATATCTTGCTCAAAATAAGCTATCATTTTTGATTAACATTTGAGTCACTAAAAAATAGTTTAGAAAAGTGCCAAAGAATGTCGGTCTTTTGTCTAATAAGGACGTTATGCTAAAGAAAATGCCATGTGGTATAGTTTAACTTATTTTTCTGCATCGAATGGTATCAAATTTGTAAAAAAAATCTTGATTCTGCATGATTTTATGCACGTAGCTCGGATTCGGACGCTAGTTTGGATTTGGAAGCTAGTTCGGATTTGGGGGCTAGTTCGGATTTGGAAGCTAGTTCGGATTCGGAAGCTAGTTTGGATTCGGACGCTAGTTCGGATTCGGAGGCTAGTTTCGATTCGGAAGCTAGTTTCGATTCGGACGTAACAGATATAATAAATAGTCTGCAAACCAGAGTAACTGGTTTTGGCAATTTTTGCAAATATAGCCAGAGTTTGAAGACTTATGGTTACAAGTATACAATCGGTTTGGATTCGGACGCAACATATAAAAGAGCATCGTCTGGCCGTCCGTCCGTCTGTACAAGCTTTTCTCAGCCGTCTTTGGGCCACAAAAACTGAAATTCTTTCAAAAGTCTTAAACTATAATATAGTCATGCCAATTAAAATTAAAAATTAAAAAGTTAAAAGTGAGCGGCACTACGGGGGGTCGAACCTGGATTGCATGGGCCGTAGACAAGCGCGCTCCTGATTGACTCCTGATTGACCAAGCTCTCCTTCAGCCACAAACAACTATAGAACTTGCAACAGCTTCCAAAAGCATATTTTAGCAGCCTGTTACATTCATAAAGAAATTCCATCAAACCAGATAACGCACACAGTTATTCACTCCGAATTTAGGCTCAATTCGCGATTCGAAGCTCTCCCTGCAACAAAGAGTTCTTCAACACAAAGAATTCTGAGCGCTTGAAGGAATTGCTGGTACAAATTGCTTGGAATTGCTGTTTACAATTTAATTTAATTTTTAATTCAATTAAATTGCTGAATTTAATAATCTAAAGCATTAATTTAGCAATTCTACTTTGATCAAGAGGACAAGATTCCCGCTGAATATGACTACAAGCAAATTGTGAGTGATTCAAAGTCTAGACAATTATTTGATCTGTTTCTCAGACTTGCTTAAGACTTGTTTAGACTTGTTTAAGTTTCAACTTAAGATCTAGCTTCTTGATCCTTGATTAATCTTTGATTCCTTGATTAATTCTTGATTAATCCTTGATTAATCCTTGATTAATTCTTGATCCAGTTCCAGTTCCTTGCGTAGATCACTAGATATCATTTTTTAGGTTTACTACAAGTCCATGGAGAAAATATTCACTTGTAAGGATGCTCATGGACGGATGGTTTTTACTGATGAAGGTCTTCCCGCTCAACCACAACCCCATCAAGTGGTTGGCGTTACTCCTTATGTAAGGGTTTTCCGGAAAAAGGCTTACAGCTTTATGTTTCCGTTAACCCAAAAAGCTTTTGTCCGTCCTTGTGCTTACGATTCAGCTTGTTTGTCGATTTGATTCGATTCGATTATTTCGATTCGATGAATTCGATGAATGACTTAATGAATCTCTGAATTTAGGTGAACGGCAAACGAACGAAGAGAGACATCTATTCGGGGTTGAATGGAGACACGGTTGATGGTGGAACATCGAGGTCTTTGAGGTACAATTGTAGATTAGGTACAATTGTATTTTGAGGTACAATTGTGGATCGAAAACATTTACCAAACTTTTCACAAACTTTTACCGAACTACGCACTGCACCTATAATTCTACCGCATCCTGTATTTAAAAGAGCAGTATCTGCCTGTCTGTCTATTTTTACGGGCTTTTTCTCGGTCATCTTTGGGCTAAAAAAAACTGAAAGCTAGTTCGGACGCTAGTTCGGATTTGGACGCTGGTTCGGATTTGGAAGCTAGTTCGGATTTGGACGCTAGTTCGGATTTGGAAGCTAGTTCGGATCCGGATTTATTAGGGTGGTGCAAAAGAAACTGCCGATTTAACGGTAAATTCAAAAAAAAGATGGCGTTCGATGGTGACATGATCACAATGGAATATTTTCGCAAGACCTCGAGCAGATGGGCATGGATCGAATAACGTCCCTCAGCTTGGCTTCGTTCACGACTTCTGGCCTTGAACCGTGCTCGTAATCTTCCAAAGTCTCGTCTCCCTCTCGGAATCGTTGAAACCAAGTCTGACACTGCCTGAGAGACAAACTCCCATCTCCGAAAGCAGCACAGAGAGAACGATGCGTTTCGGCAGCTAAACTTTCCAATTTTGAAGTTAAACAGTGATGCTGCTCGTAGCACAAACTTTTGCTCGACCATGATCTAAATAAAAAATATAAGTATTTTAAAATAAAATAAACAACAACCAAAAAATTCAAATGTCGAAATAAATAGCAAACAAATCATTAAAAAAATAATGCCGTTAGCATCGCTCGTTTCTGATAAATGAGAGCTGATACCCATCTTTTCTTTTGCACCACCCTAACAGTTCGGGTTCGGAAGCTAGTTCGGATTCGGAAGCTAGTTCGGATTTGGAAGCTTGTTCGGATTCGGACGTAACAGACATAATAAATAGTCTGTAAACTAGAGTAACTAGAGCTGGTTTCCGCAATTTTTGCAAATATAGCCAGAGTTACAAGTATACATTTGTTCGGACGTAACATATATAAAAGAGCATCGTCTGCACACGTTTTTTTTCCGTTCGGACGCTAGTTCGGATTCGGAAGCTAGTTCCCGTTCGGACGCTAGTTTGGATTTGGACGCTAGTTCGGATTCGGACGCTAGTTCGGATTCGGAGGCTAGTTTCGATTCGGAAGCTAGTTTCGATTCGGACGTAACAGATATAATAAATAGTCTGTAAACCAGAGTAACTGGTTTTCGCAATCTTTGCAAATATAGCCAGAGTTTGAAGGCTTATGATTGCAAGTAAACATTTGGTTTGGATTCGGACGCAACATATAAAATAGCATCGTCTGTCCGTCCGTCCGTCTGTACACGTTTTTCTCAGCCGTCTTTGGGCCACAAAAACTGAAATTCTTTCAAAAGTCTTAAACTATAATATAGTCATGCCAATTAAAATTAAAAATTAAAAAGTTAAAAGTGAGCGGCACTACGGGGGGTCGAACCTGGATTGCATGGGCCGTAGACAAGCGCGCTCTCGACTGCGCCACATTGCGCCACGGTGTTGTGCATCTGCCCCAAAATAGCTAGAAAAATCCGCTGTTAGGCAGGTTTTTTGGCTGGTCCAAATAGGAACATATCTGTAAATTTACGATTCTTTTAGCACCTGGCATCCGGCAGTGAGACTTCCAATCGACGCTATTTACTTTGCTATTGTCAAGTTCCAGTTGACCCAGAACTCAAAAGTGAAGACAGGAAATGTTACGGTAAGTTCATCATTTGATTTCTCTGAGTTGAGTTCATCATTTCTCATCATTTGATTAATCTGTTCCATTTGCATTTTATCGATTGCAGGTTATTACAAAGTGGAGAGGTCCCTATGGATTCTTGTCCGCCATCGACTACCCATTACTCGGATTCTACGCTTTTATGTGCCTCTTCTACGGAATTCTGTCAATGGTTTGGCTAATTCTCTGCATTCGGCACTTCAAGGACATCCTGAAGATTCAATATTGGATTGGTAAAGTGAGCAAAAGTTAGACAAAACCAAAGTTTCCTTTCAGGAGGTGTGATCATTTTGGGAATGGTCGAGAAGGCGATGTTCTACTCGGAGTACTCAACGATGAATAATTATGGAGAGAATGTGGATGGAGTGATTGAAGTTTGTTAGAGTTAGAAAAACACAAATCACAAAATTCAGGCAGCCGAGTTGATTTCTTGCTTGAAGAGGACAATGTCTCGCGTTCTCATCATTATCGTTTCTGTTGGATATGGGATCGTAAAGCCGAGACTGGGGCAAACATTGAGTCAGGTAAGTGGTCAAAAATCAGTAATGAGTCTATAAATTGGTTCAACTTGAAATCCTAACGTTTTCCAGGTTGCCGGGGTTGGCTTTGTCTACTTTATCTTCTGTGCCATTGAGGGACTTGCCCGTGTTTCGAAGGTGAGTCAAACGCATTCAATCACAAAAACTAACAATAGAAAGGCAACAGTAGGATTCAGCTAAATGAGCTAAATCCTACTGTTGCCTTTCTATGACTGGCCAAATGACATAAGCCATAGACCAATCGACGCAGAATTTCACGCTGATTCCGAATCTGCTTTTCGTTTTTGCAAAATAGCCCTCTATAAAAAGTTATACGTGTTTTAAGGTCTAGGGTGAAAATGCGAGAATTTGAAGCCGAATTGGCGCCTGTATTTCTTTGAATATTCTTTTTCTGAAGTTGTAAGCGTGTCTAACAATAGAGAGGCACCAGATCAAAATATCCTTTCAAAATGAAATCCAGTGTAACTGACCGAGCTTTTTACGCTGATTCCGAATCCTGTTTTAGTTTTTCCGCTCTTTAACGTGAGGGATTTACATACAGAAATTGATCCCGGTTCGCTTATTCTTAAAAGCCTAACATTTTCCTATGACTTTGACAACTCTAGTAAAAAAATGCATGCGGCACAACGCTGAAAGACAGTAAAATTCGAGTTTGGACTCTGAAAAATCGTCTTTTTCTATCAAAATCATGTTTAAAGTCTTATATTAAACGAGTAAAGTTTTAAATTTTTACAAAAACTCATAAATCGAGTGAAAAAATGTCCGTAGATTTAAAAGATCTAAACAAAAAAACCGTTAACTCTTTGGTTTTTTTGAGAAAATCGTCATTTATGTCGCCTCCTGTACTTGATGAGCTTCGAAAAAATGAAATCTTTAAATTGTTTTTGTATTATTGTACTTAAATCGTTAGAAAGGAGTCTCGGCCTTCTCAACAATGTAATCTCTAATTTTAAAACTTCAGAACCACGCCGAAGCAGTCAAACAAAAACAATTCGCCGCTCTCCCTTTGGTGATCGTTGAGATGACGATTTTCTATTGGATCTTCACTTCACTAACTGGAACAATGAGGACATTGAAAATGAGAAGAAATGAAGTAATTGTTCATGCAAATCTTTTTATCAGACTTTTCAGATCAAACTCTCGGTTTATCGCCACTTCACGAACACTCTCTGCTTTGCCGTGTTGGCTTCAGTGATCTACATGTGCTGGTCGCTTGCTTTCCACATCTTCCCGAATTGCTTGACCGATTGGAAAGAGCTGTGAGGATTTTAAACTACATTTTACATTAGTATTTTATGTTTATCTCATTTTAGATGGGTTGACACGGCATTTTGGCATGTGCTTTTCTGCTCAATTCTAGTGGTGATTGTGATTCTATGGAGACCGTCACAAAATAATCAACAATATGCATTCACGCCACTTCTCGATGATTCAGAGGATGAGAATGAAGGTTTGTGAAAGGGATGAACGAAAAAGATCAATGATTTCCAGATGATGTTCTGATTGGAAACAATTTATTGTTGGACGGGGTGAAGATTCGGTCGACGGATGAAGTGAAAGAGAGGAAAGAGCAACGAGAACAAAGGGAAAGGGATAGCAAGTTGGAGGTGAGAATTGAGAGAGTTCAAAGGGATTTTAGATCCGTAAGCTTTAAACTATTGTCTGCAAGCCGGACAAGATAAAATCGGGCAAGCCAGGACGGACCAGTCAGAGCTGGACTGGACTGGACTGGACCGGACCAGACCAGAGCTGGACTGGACTGGACTGGATCGGGCCAGACCAGATCTGGACTGGACTGGACCAGAGCTGGACTGGACTGGACTGGATCGGACCAGACCAGATCTGGACTGGACTGGACCAGAGCTGGACTGGACTGGACCAGAGCTGGACCAGAGCCAGAGCCAGAATTCAGCTTTAGGTCCAAGTCTGGGTTCTACTTGTCTAATATTAGGTTCTCCACTCAATAACCGGAATTTTTCACTAAAAATTGGCTTTTACAACCTAATAGACAAACTAATAGACAACCTAACAGACAAACTAATAGACAACTTAATAGACAACCTAATCAAAAGCAATTAAAGCTCTCTTTCAGGAAGAATTGAAATGGATCGAGAACAACATTCCGACCACACTCGCCGAGTCACTCTTGATAGATGACGAGGATGACAAAGAGGCGAGAGATCTCGAGAGGAGTAAAATGCTTTAAGGAAACTATCCAAGCAATTTCATTTGACTTTTCTAAAGCCATATAAATCTAATCATCTAAAAAGAAAGAATCCTTGCAATGAATTGTAGAAAATGAAAAGTTACATTAAGTCTTGAAGAAGACGCGAAACTTATCTTTATCCTTAATCCCGCCAGCCTGGTGTTGCATTTGTTGTTGTTTTTATGCAATTTGTAAATCGATTGTCAATTTCTTATAATATTCAGTCATTATTCAGGATTTTCAAGAAAATTTCTGTTATTTTTTCCCCCAAATTTTCCGTGCACTATCCGTGAAAGACGAGGTATCATTTTTTTTTGATAAAAACTCCCCTAAAACGCAAAAAATTATCATTCTTTGGCTGCTTTACAATTTTATAATCCTTAAATTTGTTTCTATTTATGGTATCGTTTTAATTTGATTTGATTTGATTTGATTTGATTTGGTCAAATATTTGCCTGAATATTGTGATTACATAGTTTTTCCTTTTTTAGAAGTTCTTGAGGGCATTTGATTGAATAAATGGAGAAAATTGAAATCATCTTTTGAATTTCTATTCAACTTTTAACCACAACTAAAAGATTTCAGCAAACGTAAGGAGTAAAAAGTGCAAGAGAACAAAAGAACGACCGTTTTGTGAAGATCATAATTTCATAATTGAGATTGAGAACATCACCTTCGGAGTTTTGATTTATTGTTTTTGCATGATTCATATTCGGTTGAACACTAAGTCTTGGTAAGGATTTCAAACAAAAATTCTAAAAAACAAAATACCCCAGTAAAATGCTTCTGTTCAAAAATTTGAAGTTTTTGCACTTTAAAATGCAATAAAGAAGATCGCCGGGTTGTTCTCTGTGCGCGAGCACAATCGCGCTCTTTCTAGCATCCTTTATTTCCAGATATAGCTCCCTTTCATGTCTCCATTCGGAAGCGTCCATTTTGGGTCATCCGGTAACCAATCCGTTGTCTGCCCCATGTGGTCACCGCTTCCCAAAATTAACCTCGGTTGTAGAATTGGTCAACCCAATTCCGGCTCATTTTGACCACTATGGCGGGTTCTCCGTCGGTCGAGATGGGATCCCAAGTGCCTGTAAAAGGGTGCTGAAGGGAGCCGCTGTGAATTTTGGATTCATCCCAAGGATTTCGGTCCGTAGGGGCAGCAAGAAACTCATGAAACAAAACGAGTAAATGGGCTCAAGGATTGGAAAATACCAGAGATGTTGGCCTAAAATCGAAAGTCTAAAATGGCCTAAATGGTCTTTTTCGAAAAACAGAAGCTCTAGAAGACGAATAAACAAAAAGAGTTCTTTTATGTTAGTTTCATATAACTTTAATTGGCTGCATTTTCTAACGGAAAACTTGGGCATGGCTATTACCAGAAACACAGAAAATGGTCATTTGTGACCCCTCAGTTGTGATCTAAAAGTTGTGATCTGCGCAAAGAGGAACAGCTAAGTGCGAAGACAGATAAAAAAAATATATAGACAAGCAACTATTATCTAGATTATCCAAAACATACCGCAATAAGGATATTAAACAAAAATTTATTAACAACAAAACAAGCAGCTCAAACAGCAAAACAAGGATAACAGAAGATCCTGGGGATCTGGAAGATCCTGGGGATCTGGAAGATCCTGGGGATCTGGAAGATCCTGGGGATCTGGAAGATCCTGGGGATCTGGAAGATCCTGGGGATCTGGAAGATCCTGGGGATCTGGAAGATCCTGGGGATCTGGAAGATCCTGGGGATCTGGAAGATCCTGGGGATCTGGAAGATCCTGGTGGAAGATCTTTGAATAAAAAAAAATCAATAAAAAAGTGGAACGAATGTTTCAGCGCAAACGAAAAATTTTCTGAAACGGGACTGATAAGCCTACCTTTTAAACATCAACAGTCCGCGGTGTTCTGTTTACTTAAATAAATATTTCGCAAGTCCAAACCCTTTCCCAAGACTTTGTGTTCAACCTAATAATTTATATCATCATTAGTTGATTTTCCATGGTTTTCCAATTCCATGACTTTTGCTACAGACCGAAATCCTTGGGATGAATCCAAAAATTCACCTTGCACACCCTATAGTTGTTGCGGTAATTCTTACACCCTGTAGAGTGATAGGAATGAAATCTTTTCACAATGAAATCACAGATCTTTCCAAAAATAAAAAGATTGCAAGCCTCAGCCGATAAGTGTTGTATACTGTTCGAAAGCCCTGAATCCCATCTACAAAATAGTGCAAAAAGATTTTGAATTGAATTGATTATTGAAGGCTTGGCTGACTTTTAAGTTGAGGGGTCACAAATGACCATTTTCTGTGTTTCTGGTAATAGCCATGCCCAAGTTTTCCGTTAGAAAATGCAGCCAATTAAAGTTATATGAAAATAACATAAAAGAACTCTTTTTTTTTGTTCGTCTTCTAGAGCTTCTGTTTTTCGGAAAAGTTTCATTTTAGACCATTTTAAGCCACAAGTGGCTATTTTAGGTTTTGATTTTAGGCCAACATCTCTGGTATTTTCCAATCGTTGAGCCGCTTTACTCCTTCGGTTTCATGAGTTGCTTGCTGCCCCCGCGGACCGAAATCCTTGGGATGAATCCAAAAATCCACAGCGGCTCCCTTCAGCACCCTTTTACAGACACTTGGGACCCCATCTCGACCGACGGAGAACCCGCCATAGTGGTCAAAATGAGCCGGAATTGGGTTGACCAATTCTACAACGGAGGTTAGTTTTGGGAAGCGGTGACCACATGGGGCAGAGAACGGATTGATTACCGGATGACCCAAAATGGACGCTTCCGTTTGGAGACATGAAAGGGAGCTATATCTGGAAACAAGGGATGCTAGAAACAGCGCGATTGTGCTCGCGCACAGAGAACAACCCGGCGATCTTCTTTGTTGCATTTGAAAGTGCAAAAACTTCGAATTTTTGAACAGAAGAATTTTACTGAGGGGTTTCGGAGTTGGGGAATCGATTGACAGTGTTAGTTTTAATGTTTTTTTTTGTCCCAAATCAATGATTTCAATGCATTTCCTATTCAAGGATGGTTCTAATTTCACAAGCAATATCTCTTCTTTCTAGCTTATGTCTTCCAATTTAAACTTTTTCAAACACCTTCGAAAAGCTTTTCAGCAGCCTTCTTTAAGAGCTCTTTTTGTGAATTGAGTTTCTCAAATCTTACACATTTTACAGATCTTTAAGTACATAACTACGTTTCGCAAGTTATGGAAAAGGTAGGCCTTCTGATTCTGATGCCGGTCCTCTGATTCTGATTCCTGCATCGAATGATTGATGACATTTGATCAGCCGAACATGAAAACAGATCTTCTATCAGGTGGTGTAGAAAAACTATCTATAAAGTTGGCTTCAAAGAGTTTAAGAGCTCTTTCTCGGCATTCACATCAAGTTTTCCGTGAGCTGATTCGAATCTTTTTCCTCATTTCAATCGATTTCATCAATTCTCCTTTTCAGAGTATGGGCATCTCACGATCAGGAATACTCCAAAAAGCCAGAAAAGCCAATAAGCCAGGCCAGGGCCTGGCCAGTCAGCCAGGCCAAAATTCATTGCGAACTTATGTTCAATGATTGAGCAAACATGCACAAACTTTGGTCGAATGGTTCATGTCATTTGTCCAGTCGATCCATTTGTCCATTTGTCCAGTTGACCTTCCCTTGTCAGAAAGGATTGACTGTGTTGTCCGCAAAAATCTCATCAATCTTTCAGTTAATGTTTTGGATGATTTTAAAGCTTTGAAGTTCATCTTTTCAAAGTATTTTTGAATTGAAATCATAAAATAAATGTTTTTGAAGTTATACAAAACCCAATTCATTGCGAACTTGTGTTCAATGATTGAGTAAACATTCACAAACTTTGGGGCACCACTCGAGTTTCAGTCTTTCACAGAAATTTGATGTTTGTGACGATTTCAATATTCAATTTGTCTTTCTTTTTGATTATCAATGGAGATAATAGCTCAGCAATCAATTTTGAGGCTTTTGGTGTCAGTGGTAAGTCTTGAACAAGACTTTTGAATTGAAAACATTTACAGCAAACTACTCTACTGTTCTGAACAACGCAAATCGGGTTTTTAACGAGATTTTCACTGTTCGAAACTATCATAAAGAGTTGGCTCCGATGGACACATCACTAGAAAGCAATTCGTCAAGTTTTCCAAAGAAATAGCTCGAAAATGATTGAGATGAGTCTTTAGATGAGTCTCGACTGCAAATTGGAGTTACCGTTCAAATGATTTACATTGTGAATTTAGTTTGTAACATTAACAATTCGTTTGAGTGAAGGGAAATTAGGATATGGCTCAACAAAACCTGTTGACCTATGTTGAATTGGAATTGATATGGCAAGATGTGAGACTAGCTTGGGAACCCGAAAATTTCGAGAAAGTGCCGACTATTTGGATTCATTGCGATCAAGTGTGGGCGCCAGAAAATATCGCTGAGAATGTGTGAGTTCAGAAAAGCTGGACAAGGTTTCAAAATGGATAAATAATGATCAAGAACTATTAAGAACAACTAGAGGAGCTATAGGTCAAGAGAAAAGTTCAGCTTCTCGAATGTGAAGACTGAGAATGTGTAAGTTTTTGACTGTGAAACAATCAAACAATTTGAATTGAAAGAAACAATTTGAATTGAGAGAAACAATTTGAATTGAGAGAAACAATTTGAAATCTTGTAGAATCTCGATCGAAGAGGTTTTCCCGGATCGCTTCAAACAATGCAAACTTTATGCGAATGGAACCGTTCACTACGATACTATTCTTCTCATTCAATCAGTTTGCTCAATGAATGTAAGTTGACTTTGTTTGGCAAAAGGCAATCGAGATTAAGATCGAAAGATTTCCATTTGATCAGCAGAAATGCTCTCTGCAGTTCACGTCACAAATCTACGATATGAATCTAATCAATGCAAGGGGAGAACTTTTCACAAAGCAACCTGGCGTGACTCCACAGGTGAATCATTTCATACAGAAATTTCAAGCTTAGCATCGAATTTAACCTAATCCAGGCTTAAGCCGTGGCTTTGGCTTGACTTGGTGTGAAAGTTTGTTGCCAACCTTGGCTCTAGGAACTTATAAACCAAGCCAGAGGCAGATCAGAAATAGACAAAGGCGTCAGAAACAAGGTCAGACTACAAGCGCTTATAGAAACGCGTAGAATGGCTATTTTTACAAACTGTTTTTACCAAAAAATCGAGCTAACTTTGGGCTTTCAAAATGGCACCAAGATTAGGCCAATACACACTCTCTGCGCTGAAATATAACATTTTCCAGGTTTGTAGTCCTATCCGAGACTACAAACTGCTATAAATAGAATCTCAAAGCAGAAATGGTGAATTGGTCTGAGCTTGATGTCATTAAAAAGCCCAAAATTGACTTGATTCTTTGGTAAAAACAGTTTGTAAAAATATCCATTCTACGCATTTCTACAATCGTCTGTAGTTTGTAGTGCCCATGTCAGAAGCCATGTACGTTTGGCTTTGGCGCATCATGTCAGAAGCCAAACCTACCTGGCTTCTGAATTGAGTTAGGTTTTTGGAATAATCCTGGCAATATTTTGTTGCAAGACTAGCTTATTCTTACAGTAAAAAGCCTTCCTTTGATCATCCATGGTTTTAGGGAAACGCTGAATGGTCTGTCGTCAATTGTACTGTCGAGAAAATTCACTACACTGGGTACTCGTCTGCAGGAATGGATTTAGTAAGAGTAAATCAAGTGAATTTATCTATTCATCGTCTAGATCGCTTTTTGGCTTACTCTGAAAAGAGAGCCAAGTTTCTACATTTATGTGATCACTTTTCCTTGCTTTCTTCTCACTTTTCTCTCAATCATCGGCTGTTTTTGGACACCTAATCTACGAGAGGAACAGTTGTCAAAAGTGATTAAACGAATTTTACAAAAAGTAGCAAGCCTTTAGCTTAGCATTGCTTTAACAAGCATGATGTCAATGACAACTTTCATCCAAATGGTTTCCGAGCAGATGCCGAAAACGAAAAAGTTTCCATTGTTAGGTAGAGCTGTATGGAATTCTTGATGAATATAAATTTAGGCATATTCGTTCTGATTTGTGTTTTTTTGATCTCACTCTCTTGTGTAATTCTTGTCACTTTCCCCGAGAAATCAAAGGCTTTAAGTCCTAAGGAAAAGGCAACAAGGTAAGATTTAGCTAATCGAGAACTGTTTAGGTTTGAGTTTTTGATAAAATTCATTCAGAACCTGGAAGACAAAACTTTGGCAATTTGTTTTCTCTCGTCATTTTGCTTTGATGGCTTCTTTTCAAGCACTGAACATTATAAATTTTATTGTTTTTCTTTCATTTTGGGATTGATGCATAGATATTGTATGTGCTGTCTTTGTGCTATGAATTTTGACTTGAAAATTTTTCTTATTTCTTTCCACCTGAGCAAGTGGTGTTGCTCACAGTTGTCCAAACTAAAAATTGATGTTTACATCTCGTAAAATATCATCTACCTTGACAATCGAAATTCTTTCCAATTGCCATTCCGGGAAGCATCCAAACACCAAGCAGCCTGAGCCTAAGCCTAAGCCTAAGCATCCAAACACCAAGCAGCCTGAGCCTAAGCCTAAGCCTAAGCACCCAAACACCAAGCAGCCTGAGCCTAAGCCTAAGCCTAAGCATCCAAACACCAAGCAGCCTGAGCCTAAGCCTAAGCCTAAGCATCCAAACACCAAGCAGCCTGAGCCTAAGCCTAAGCCTAAGCATCCAAACACCAAGCATCCAAACACCAAGCATCCAAACACCAAGCATCCAAACACCAAGCATCCAAACACCAAGCATCCAAACGTCTATGATATCACACCTTCCTCTGAAGTGAAGGGGCGGGGTTTGTCGAGGGCGAGGGCGTGCCTGCGGCAGGTTCCGCCCCTTCACCCGACCGAGCTTATATTAGGTTGGCGGGAAAATAATGCGAATTTTTAACTTGTGCTCTTGGGAAAGTAATGGTCGACAAACAGAGAAAACCGCGATAGTAACAGAGAAGCCGAGTGTGTTTGCTTACACAATATTATTCGAATGCTTACACAATATTATTCGAAAACATTTGTTTACTTGTTATCAAAAAATGACGTAACAAAAATTCCTTATTCGAGCTGCTTTCGAACAAAACCCTAAAAAACACCTTTCGGAAAATTACTGTAGCTAGAGGAAAATTTTTCTAAAAAGGGCCGTTTCAAATTTCATTGGACAGACTAGGAAATCAATTTTCTTCTTATTTTCTCATTAATTGTTAATATTTTTACATTGTTTCTTTATTAAATCTTATTTAACTTTTATTTTTTAGATAATGGGTCGTTGGAAACCGCTTTCTGCGTACGACAAAGGCCAAATTGACGCCCGATCCATTCCATCAGGGAAATCGGATCCAATCCATCAGGGAAATCGGCATGTTTCAAAGCGTGAATCGGCATCACCAAACTCTGTTCACAACTACTCGAAAAACAATGGCAACTCAACTCCTGAAAGTCGCCAAGGACCAAAGCCAAAGCTTACGCACTCGACAATCGGCAACAATGCTGTATTGAATTGTTGAATCTTGATCGAAATACGGATTCCCTCCACAGCCAACTTGATTAACCACACAGTTGCCAGCATCAGTCGCCAGCAACAGTCGCCACACATGAGGTGCAGTCAGCAGCACTCTAAATCATTAATAAATACAGATCTGAAAATTTACTGTGTTACCACATAGGTGTCAGTTGTGAGTAAAGAAGAGAGAATGTAGAAAGCCAGACTCTGTTGCAAGGACAGCAGTTTCTGATGGTTGACTGCTTGACATTTACTCGAAACGTTCTTTGGTTTATGTAGAAAAGCGTTCAGTTCAATTTCACTGCAAAACGCCATTTACCTACTACTGCAATGGTGAGTATACAAAACAAACAAAACAAACAAATTCAACTTTTCTCTAGTCAAATTTCTTGAGGATTCTTTTATAAGCAATCACAAGTCGATTCAATTTCCATACATCGAGTTATAGACCGTCAAAGTTGATTGACTTCTGCAGGCAAGTAAGTCGACTTTGACACAAATTTTCTCTATGTTCTTACACATTAGTATACAAGATAGATTGTACTTTTCTATTGCCAAATTTCATGACGATTCTTTTAAAACTAACCTTAAGTCGATCCGATTACTGGGAGCCGAGATATAGAGTAAAATAGAAGAGTCCCCAAACTCCGAGACTCACCACGGAATTTGAAAGTCCTTTTAGTCTCTCTAGTCCTTTTACGTCAATTCAAGAAAAGTATCAAATTCGAGAAGAATCAAGTTCGTAGAGAAAGAGAAAAGTAATAATTTTTTAGAGAGAAGGGCCAAATTTTGTAGTAGAAGGGGGATAAAATGTTAGTCATTTGAATCTGGAAATTTGAAAAGAGATGTAAAAAGCTTTATTTGGTCCCAAACCCGCCACCCTTACATTAACAAAAAAATGGAAAACCATACAATTAGAAATCGAACAAATAGAAATAGAAGAATCGAAAAGTGAAAATGATCGCTCTAATGGCCCGGACAAGGGCGTGGAGGAGGCTCTGGCGCCGTCGTGCCCATGATTGACTTCTGCAGGCAAGTAAGTCAACTTTGACACAAATTTTCTCTATGTTCTTACACATGAGTCTACAAGATAGATTGCACTTTTCTATTGCCAAATTTCATGACGATTCTTTTAAAAGTAACCTCAAGTCGATCTGAACACTGTGAGCCGAGATCTAGAGATCACAGAACTTCTCTTTTCAATTTTGCCTCATCCATACCGATGAAACTAAATTCGATTTGGATTTCGGACAAAATCACCATCGGAACATCGGTCACTATTGAGAATTGATCCATGATGTTAAAAATTAAATTATATTGATAATGTTGATTGTGATTGATTGATTGACAATGCTAAAGTACCGAAGTAAACAGTTCAGCCAAGAGACATTTTACTTTTTCTCTTCCAAAATGTTCGATGCCAACAATTCATTTTGGAATTGGAATTGAAGTGAATCTTTGCTGTGAATCAAATCACGAAATTCTAGTTGTAAGAGTGCGAAACTCAATGAGTGAACAAATAGGCATTTCTGGCCTCTTTGGGCACCACTCGAGTTTCATTCTTTGCTCTTTGTATTTGATGTTCCTTGCGTTTTCTATATTTATTTTATTTTTCATTGAGATTCATAATGGTGATAACAATATGCAAATCGATTTTCAAGAGTTCGGAGTTACCGGTAAGTGGGTACATAAAGAAAGATTGAGTTCAAAGCCTATGGGAAAAGTTCTTACGGCATCTCTGATCTTTACGGCGGCACCTTTGATCTTTCCGAGTCTTTTCGGTTTCGAGTAAACGACTGCATCGACTATTTGTCTAGATTTTAGCACTTCATAATGCACCAATCCTTTCGAATTCCACCATAAAGAAAGCATGATCTTCAATCCATGGATATCAGGCTTGGAAGTGGTTTACGGGGCTTCACCAGCAAAGAGCCATTGATTTTTTCGAGTAACATTGTCATAACTGATCCAATTCTCATCAGAAGTCAAGAGTCTGTCGAAAAATTGTGTGATTTGCACTTTTGAAGCAAAATGGAGCACACGATGACACAAAATGGAGCACACGATGCAAAATGGAGCACACGATATTTTGTTACCTTGGGTCAGCTCATGTGAAACCCATTTTCCATGTCGAACCTTTTTCCCAAGTTGATGCAAATGGTTTTCAATTGTCACATCGCTTTCCCAAGGAGCGTACTTTTTCTCAAACTTTCTCGGAAAGTTCCGGTGGAAAGTTTTACCGGAAACTTTCTGGAAGAAAAGTACGTTAAAAGTACGTTAAGAACGTGGACTATGGACGTTTTACTGGAAAGATCAAAGGTGCCGCCGTAAAGATCAGAGACACCGCCAAAGCTTTTCCTGGAGCGTAGCGTAGGGCTCAGCTTGGTGAGATTTACAACAAAGCAAGCATTTTGAAAGGGTCCAAGTGCTAGAAACAGCGCAAAGTTCATTTCTTTGAAGTCTAACTTATACTTTTTTATCAATCTTTTCTTAGCAAACTACTCGCTTTCTTTAAATGGAGCAAATCGAGTTTTCAACGAGATTTTCACAAATCGAAACTATCACAAAGAGTTAGCTCCAATGGATACATCGCTGAAAAAAGACTCGCCAAGTTTGTTAGAAACTGGATTTAGTACATAAACATAGACATAAACATAAACATAAACATAAACGTAAAATTCAGAAAAATCCCGACTCCAAATTGAGATCACAATCCAGCTTCTCTACATCTTCAATTTGGTGAGTAAAACTAGTCGCAAAGGTTGAAAAAAATATAGGATATGGCTCAACAATACTTGTCAACATACATCGAACTAGCATTAACATGGCAGGATGTGAGATTGGCATGGAAACCTGAGAATTTTGATGAAGTGTCAACTATTTGGGTTCATTGCGATCAAGTGTGGACTCCTGAAAATATTGTTGATAATGTGTGAGTTCAGAAAAGCTGAACAAGGTTTCAAAATGGATAAATAATGTTCAAGAACTATTAAGAACAACTAGAGGAGCTATAGGTCAAGAGCTATAGGTCAAGAGCTATAGGTCAAGAGCTATAGGTCAAGAGCTATAGGTCAAGAGCTATAGGTCAAGAGCTATAGGTCAAGAGCTAGAGGTCAAGAGCTAGAGGTCAAGAGCTAGAGGTCAAGAGCTAGAGGTCAAGAGCTATAGGTCAAGAGCTATAGGTCAAGAGCTATAGGTCAAGAGCTATCACAACCAGCTTATAGGTCAAGAGCTATCACAACCAGCTATAGGTCAAGAGCTATCACAACCAGCTATAGGTCAAGAGAAAAGTTCAGCTTCTCAATCACAGAGATTTTCCCGGAACGTTTTCGACAATGTATTCTTTATTCAAATGGAACAGTACAATATGATATGGTTCTTCTCGTTCAATCTGTTTGCTCGATGAATGTATTTTTGACTTTATGTAAAAATGAAAGATTATCTATTTCAGGTGGAAAGATTCCCATTCGATCGACAAAATTGTTCACTTCAATTCAACTCGCACACCTATGATCCATATAGAATCAATGCAGAAGGACAACTCTCTACAAAGTATCCCCTTGAGGCTTCAGCAACGGTTAGCCAAGGCAAAAACTAGAAACTAGATGAAACTAATGACTAGAAACTAGAAATAATGACTAGAAACTAGAAATAATGAAACTAGATTGGTAAAACTAGATGTACAACAAAAGCAAACCTGTACAAGATGTCCCAAAATTATGTAGCGGAAATTCGATCATTGAACTTTTGTTAATTTTCAAGAAATTTTTATAAATACCTTAAAAATCATTTAACAATCATTGAACATAACAAAAATATAACATTATTCTTCAAAGTCGCCTCCTTTAGCTTGAATACATTTTCGTAATCGTTTCGGAAAGTCATCCATGGTCTTTTTGATGTCATCTATGGCCTTCTACATATCAATGTCGTTCCAAGCTTTCTACAAATCCTTCTTCAAAGACTGAATTGATGTATGAAGCTTGCAACAAGCCTTGAACTGCAAGATCGACCAAATGCTGTAATCCAAAACATTCAAATCCGACGAGTTGGATGGTCATTGTCTAGGATTTTGCGTACTTATGTCAACTGTGATCCAATCAGAAAAATACTTTGCGATTCAATCTTGCGTTTCTCGAGTTTTATGCGAAGCTCCATCCTACTGGAATACCCAAATCTTATTTCCGAAGTGCTGACTCCAAGGCAAAATTTTTTTCAAAAGCCAGTACAAAAGAATTTTAGTCATAAGTAAGAAAAAGGACAAGATAAAACAATAAATCTGTCAAAACAGGATCCGCACCATAATTTTGGGACATCTTGTAGAACTTTGAGCTTTGTGCTCAAAATTTGATCCCAAATTAACATAAACATGGGAATTCAACGTAAATTCCAACCAGAACCTAATTTCACCTTCGTTTTCTCGGCCGTTTCTTGACCGATTGCTCTGAAATTTTGTCTGCAGACAGAAATCGAAATTTTTCGATTGTAAACAAATCAAAACAATCGAAACAATCAAAACAAAGAACAATCGAACAAGAAACAGCCGAGAAAACGAAGGTGGAATTAGGTTCGTGTTGGAATTTTCCCATGTCTAGGGCAACGCCGAGTGGAGTGTTGTCAATTGGACCGTTCAACAACTGCACCTAACTGACTTCTCAGCTGATGGAATGGATATAGTAAATTTCAACTGTAGTAAAGCTAAAAGTAAACAACAGGTGACGTTTCAAGTGACGCTCAGAAGAGAACCTAGTTTCTACATTTATGTGATCACTCTACCGTGTTTTCTACTCACTTTTCTCTCAATCATTGGCTGTTTTTGGACGCTTAATCTACGAGAGGAACAGTTGTCAAAAGTGATTACAAGAATTTTACAAAAACTAGCAAGCCTTTAGCTTAGCATTGCTTTAACAAGCATGATGTCAATGACAACTTTCATCCAAATGGTTTCCGAGCAGATGCCGAAAACGAAAAAGTTTCCATTGTTAGGTAAAAAAGTACAATAGGTACAATATTACAATTGGAACAATGTTACAATCTGCATTAATTCAATTATATTTAAAACTAATCTGGTAAAAATCAAAAACTCTACCAAATTTCAGGAATATTCGTTCTGATTTGCGTATTTTTGATATCGGTATCATGTGTGATTCTTGTCACTTTCCCCGAAAAGACAAAACCTTCAAATCAAAAGGAGAATGTGATCAGGTTAGTGAAATATTTCATTTATATGTCGTAATCGTTTACGAAATTCAGCCGTTAACGAATGATTCGTTAGCGGCTAGCTGTTTACAAATCCTTCGTTAGCGGCTAGCTGTTAACGAATCATTCGTTAGCGGCTAGCGGTTTACGAATCATTCGTTAGCGTGATTCGTTAGCGGCCAGCTGTTTACGAATCATTCGTTAGCGGCTAGCGGTTTACGAATCATTCGTTAGCGGCTAGCTGTTTACGAATCATTCGTCAACGGTTAGCCGATAACGAATGAAATTTTTTCGCTAGCCGTGTACAATTTGTAATCGGCTTCTGCGAACATGGCTCGATTCAAATGAGTTTCTGATTTCAAACGATTTATGCAAGACACAAATCAGCTTATCTAGCTGAATTTCGTAAACGGCTACGACACATACATTTTTGTCGATTTAAACAATAGATTCATTTTAGAACCTGGAAGGAAAGACTCCGCAACTTTAGCTTCTCTCGGCATTTTGCTCTCTTTGCAATGTTTCAATCTGTAAACATTGTCAATTTCATTGTTTTTCTGTCATTTTGGGATTAGAACCATTTTTCAGTGATAAATGATTGACAATCATTGTTTGCAAACCCTTTCAAAACCTAATGAATCCACAAGGGACTATTGTGGACCAATTGGCGCGGCAAAACCATAGAATGAACTTTGCAATCAGCTGTTTTGTGTTGTTTTTTATTTTGTTTTGTTTTTAGCTATTATTCAACACTCTGTTATTAGATATGAAAGCAAAAAAAAGGACTTGCGCCCAACCATAATTCGATTGTTTGAGGAAAGAAAACGAGTGATGGAAATTGCCGATCTTTTGAAAGAGTCTCACTCGGTGGGTTTAAAAGCCATCAAACGTTGACAAAGACGGGAAACAACCGTTGCCAGAGGTTGGGAGAGGACGTCCTAAGACAGCTACCACGCCCCAGCCATGCAAACAAGTTATTGAACGTCTTAAACGTAACCCAATAACTGCAAAGAGCTCAACTCGAAAAATGGCGGCTTTCATTGGAATTTCCGATCGCTCTGTTCGACGAAAAAGAAAGAATCAAAGCCAATAAAGATGTAAAAGGCCATTTGCTTACGGATCCGATGAAATTATAGCGTCCTGGACTTGTTAAAGTTCTTTAACGATGTTTTGCTGCACACAGGGAGATTCTCTTCACTGATGAGAAGTGGTTTAACATTGAACAAGCTTATCATGATCAGAATCGTACATTAGAATGGTCGTACATTAGAATGGTCGTACATTAGAATGATCGTATATTAAAATGATCGTACATTAGAATGATCGCACGGAGCAATCTGAGATTCCAATGAAGGCCGTCATTTTTCGAGTTGAGTTCTTTGCGGTTACGTTTAAGACATTGGTCTAAGAACGCTTTACTACTCGAAGAAAGAATAATATCTAGACAACCAAAACCTCAGCAAATCATGGTTTGGGCTGGCGTAACTTATACCGGAAAGACTCCATTAATATTTATTTCAAAGTGTCAAAGTCAAAGGTGTCAAAGTGGACAAAAAGAGTACATCAGAATGTTTCAAAGCACCGTCAGCCATGAGTAAAGTCTCATTTTGACCGAAATTTCTGGACATATCAGCAGCAGGGAGCCCCATCTCAGAAGGCATGAAATACTAAGGAACGGATTGCTAAGAACTTTCCAAATTGGATTACTGGCTTTCAGCTAGATGTCCAGCTTTCAGCTAGGTATCCAGCTGTCAGCTAGGTGTCCAGCTTTCAGCAAGGTGTGCAGCTTTCAGCTAGGTGTCCAGCTTTCAGCTAGATGTCCAGCTTTCAGCTAGATGTCCAGCTTTCAGCTAGATGTCCAGCTTTCAGCTAGATGTCCAGCTTTCAGCTAGAGCTCACAGACTCCTGTCACAGCTCACAGACTGGCCATCGAACTCGCCTGATCTCAACTTCTCGATTATTCGATTTGGATCATTCTGGAGACAAAGGCCTGTGCTAAATCCCACACATCAATCGACTCTTCGAATCGTCGTTAAAGCCTGGGATTCGATTTCTTTAACTATCCAAAAGTCAATTGACGACTTTCCCGCAATTGACGACTGGCGCTTAAAGAAATGTGTTGCTGCAAATGGTGGTCATTTTGAGATTTATCAATTGTTTATGTTGTAATTAATTTCTTTTTTTTCTTAATTTTATGAATAAATTGTTGTCGGTTGGGAAAATTTACGATTGAAGAGTTTCGATTGATTGTTTTTCCATAATTTTCCCCTATAGAGAAGCAATATTTTTGAATTATCAATTGAGTTGAGCAATTGAGCAATTGAGCAAACAAATTGAGCAATTGAGCAAACAAAATGAGTAAATACTTCAAAAAATTTTCCAAATACCCACTCGAATTTCAGTCTTCAGTCGGAAATTTTTGATGTTCGCTGTGTTTTTAATTTTTAGTCTAATTTTTGTTTCAATTAGTCTTTGTGATAACTCTTCTATCAACTTTGAAGATTTTGGAGGCAGTGGTGAGTGTTTTGCAGTCATTGCTTGGAGTTTAAGAAGAGACGTTCAAATTTGGACCGATTCTAATCAATTTCTAATCAATTGGGCTAATGAAACTAGAGAAAATGGCATCTAAATCTAAATCTAAATCGTGTAGAATTTGTGGAAAAATACAGTCACAATTAAGGCAAAAATTGTTGCCAAAGATTTGAGCCCAAAGCAACAGGCTAGCTCAGTAGCTCGCTGCTCCTTCCCCTTTACGGCTTGCAAAAGGGAAGCACTTTATACCCGATGGGTTTGCCAGACAGCGAGCGATTACCCGACCTCACAAAGAACACTCCACATTCTTAGGGATTTCGTTGTATTGTATTGATTTCCATTGTAAATGGTATAGAAAGAAGAAATTGAGCTGAAGATTTGAACCCAAGGGTTTTCGGGGTCGGGGAATCGACTGGAGTGCTCATTTTACGCTTGTTCATTTATTCATTTTACGCCATTCACCTTGCTTTCTCATTGAAAGTCTACTCAAGCTCTTGCCGATAATTTGATTTAGTGAAAATCGATCTTAATTCGGTCCACCTTTTAAATGATAGTCGATTTCTTTATATTCATTTTTGCATATTCATTTTTGAAATCTTTTCACAGCAAACTACTCGCTTTCTTTAAATGGAGCGAATCGAGTTTTCAACGAGATTTTCACTGTTCGAAACTATCACAGAGAGTTGGCTCCAATGGACACAACACTTGAGAGCGATTCGCCAAGTTTACAGAAAAAGATTACACTCAAAAACAAGCTTTAGAAGAATCACGACTACAGATTGAAATCCTGATTCAACTACTTTTCATTATGAGCCTGGTTTGTCAAACTATTGGGTTGGTGAATTGAAAACTGCCGGACTTTGAACTAGAATTTATTCAACATAAAATCATAAATTCATTCCAAATAATTTCCATTATTATTGACGACTCCTGCCCATTTTACAGGCAATTTGCGAATTCCTCTTTCGTAGTTGGATTTTGGTTTGTGTGTGAGACAAGTGTGAGACTCAAAAATGGAGGACTGGAGATGTCCCAGTTTAAGCATTTGAGCACTTTCTTTAAAAGAAACCCATTTTGGTGTCAATAGAAAAGTTGTAGAGAATCAAAAATTAGGCTTATAGCCAAATTTCCAAAAAGATACACTTAGTAGTTTCGCTTAAAATGCAAGTTTTGTGAAAATTCGTAAATTTTGCATTTCTTGAAAACCAGTTTTTGAATCGTTCTGAAAATTTGGATATAAGCTTAATTTTTGATTCTCTACAACTTTTCTATTGACACCAAAATGGGTTTCTTTTGAAGAAAGTTCTCAAACTGTCACAGCTGACAATAGCCGGCAGTTTTCAATTCACCAACCCAATATTGGCTATCCAGAAAGTCTTTAAGTTCCTTTTTGTACTTTCGTTTAAAACCAAGAATTGACAACAATACGAAAAGACTTTCTGAAAAGCCAAATATTCAATTCGATACCAAATCGGAGTTCAGGATGTAGTCGAACAAAATCTCGTTACCTATATCGAATTGGAGCTCAAATGGCAAGACTTGAGACTGGCATGGAAAGGACAAGATTTCGATGGAGTATCCATTCTTTGGGTTCACTGTGACCAGTTGTGGACACCAGAAAATATCGCTGTTAATGTGTGAGTCTTTCAGGAGCAATGCTGAATAATACAAGGCGGATCTGGGCAAAATTTTAGGCAAAATGTTAGATAAAATTAGCTAGATACTCAAAAAGTCAAATTTAAAGTTGTTCAATCAGGCAATACCAGTATTATTTAGTATTTCCGTCGAAGAAGTCTACCCGGATCGCTTCAAACAATGCAAACTTTACTCAAATGGAACGATTCACTACGATATGATTCTTCTCATTCGATCAGCGTGCGAGCTGAATGTATTTGATTTCATTTAGTTTGCCACTTTAGTTGTTTCATTTAGTTGTTCACTGAAATCTTTAGGTTGAAAGATTTCCATTCGATCAGCAAACCTGTGAACTCCATTTCAACTCGCATACTTACGACTCTTATCGAATTAATACGCAGGGTGGGCTCTTCACCAAATATCCTGGTTCAGCACCAGCGGTTAGTAAGCTTTATTGTGAATGATTTATTGTGAATGAATGATTCATCACGACTCTTTTCAAATGATTTTAGGGGAATAACGAATGGTCAGTCACAAATTGTACTGTCGATCATTTATCTCTTGCTGATTATATAAAGCCTGGAGCTGCTCCGCAAGCGGAAGTGGTACGGCTAAACCTTTTTGACAATTGCAAACGATTTTACTGAGCCATGAATTTACCTTTAGGTTGTTTTTCATCTGAAACTAAAACGAGAACCTAGTTTCTACATTTATGTGATCACTCTACCGTGTTTTCTACTCACTTTTCTCTCAATCATTGGCTGTTTTTGGACGCTGAATCTACGAGAGGAACAGTTGTCAAAAGTGATTATAAAATTTTAATCAGCAATTTTAGCAAACCAGTAATTTTAGCTCAGCATTGCTTTAACAAGCATGATGTCGATGACAACTTTTATCCAAATGGTTTCCGAACAAATGCCGAAAACGGAAAATTTCCCACTGTTAGGTAAGCTTTAGGTTGTAAACTAAGTCTTGACCCCAAATTCTAAACAATATTTATTGACAAAAAAAAAGAGGAGTTTGATCGAAATAATCTCCATTATTTGCGATTTGCCAATTTTATTTGCGATTCGCCTATTTTACTGGTAATTGGCGGATTTTCATTCCTTTTCCTACTTCCATTTAAAATCAACAAATACATCAATTGAACTACGGTTTGTTTCATTAGAAAGGCCAATTATTTCTCTGCAAAATAACATTAAAATTGGTTTAAAATGTCTTATTTCTGGATTTTTTTGGAGTTGCAAAGTCGGATAGTCAAAATTGCAACGAATCTCAAAAAGCACTTTTCTCTCTCGAATTTGCTTAAAAGTGAACCGAAAATTGACTTGCCTGCAGTCGGGTAGTCAAAAAGGCGATGGCTCGATGATACGAACACTTTCGTTTTAAAAAAGACACACTTTAGCTAAGGAAACCTATCTTGGTGTTAATAGATAAAAGATAGATCACAAAAAGTTTAGTATATAGCTAAATTTTCAGAGAAATTGATTCAGCCAATTTCTTCATAGAGGTTTTTCTAGATTTTTACGAAAAACACTTGAATTTTCTTGAGAAGGAAGCCAAATTGACTTAAAAAGATGGAAAATTAAACAATAAACACTTTTTTGAACCCTATGGTTTATTCTCAACTCACAAATTCATCAATTAACCTATGTTAATTGATGAATTTGTTATTTTTCAACAAAAGTACGAAAAGGCACGAAAAGACTTTCTGGATAGCTGATTATTTTCAGTTTTTAAATAGCTTAAAGACAGATTATTATTATTAATGAATAGTTATGCGTAATCCCATAACTTTAGGCATATTCGTTTTGGTCTGTGTCTTCTTGATTTCCCTCTCTTCTGTTATTCTCGTCATTTTCCCCGAAAGATCAAGAGCTTTAAATAAAAAGGAAAAAGTTTCCAGGTTAGTTTTCACAAAGCGAACAATTTTAGACTTTAATTTAGAACCTGGAAAGAACGGCTTCATTACTTTTTCTTCTCACGACATTTCGCTTTTTTGGCAACTTTTCAAGTAGCCAACTTTGTTAACTTTTTGGTTTTTCTTTCTTTTTGGAATTAGAATAAACAGTAAAGTTGATTTTCAGTAAACGTAAAGTAAAATGGAGAATTATATATATGTTGTGTCTGATTTAGATTTCCGTCCGATTTAGATTCAATCTAAATCGGACGTCCGATTCAGATTCAATCAAAATCTTATATAGATTGAACAATGATACGTCTTATATAGATTGAATGATAATATAAACATGCTTAATATATGTTCTTAAGCGTTTTCTGTAGTTTTCTGCATTTTTCAAAGGTCTGTTACTGTCTTTTTCTGAAAAGAAAACCCAACTATGAAACAATTTATTAGCGTTAACAGAATAGATGCGAAATTACAACATACAACAGCAAAAAACCAACAACAACAACGAACGAGTTAAAAATTTCTATTTATTTTTGCAGCTTAGGCTATTGTGACATCTTGAATCTATATAAGACGTATTATTGTTCAATCTATATGTCGTAGCCGATTATGAATGAAATTTTTTTGGCAAATCTTTCTAGTAGAGCAACCCTTTAATGTATGAGGACAATATTATATCATCTTGTAGCTAATTGAATTCTGCGTCGATTGGTACCAAATTTGTGAGTTTAGGTTAAAAATTGCCGGCGCTACAACGTTTCATTCAAAATCGGCGGGACCCCCGTAGCCGATTATGAATGAGTGGGTCTAGGAGCGTCCAACCATCAAGTATTTGGTATCATTCAACGCAGAATCATTAATAATTATGTTAAATTTTTAAAATTAGCAAGATTTGATGAAAAGAAAAAAAAATTAGAGCAAAAAAACAGTTTGTTCAAGAGAAAACTTTGAAGCCCCATAATTTGTGTTCTTTTTATCCAATCTTTCTAATTTCAAAAATTTAACATAATTATCAATGATTCTACGTTGAATGATACTAAATACTTGATGATTGGACACTCCTAGACCCACTCATTCATAATCGGCTGAAATTCATAATCGGCTACGACATATATAAGATTTAGATTGAATCTAAATCGGACACAACATATATATGCTTTATTCAGGGGGTGAATAGAGGCGAATCAAACAATCATAACCACATTTAACATATTGCACTAATACTTTCACAAAAGGAGAAAGAAAACTAAAAATGGTACAGTAAGACTACAGTTAGGAAACACAGGTACAAAAAGATAGGGTAGATTAAATATAGGGCAGATTTGACATGGCAATAAGATCTAATTCGTTTACAGATACTTTGAATTTTCCTACAGATGAGCAGATACCAGACGGGAGCTTATTCCAAGCTCTACTAATGATAAGAATGATAAAGGGAAAGATGATGGGGATGAGAACCGACCGAAATTTGAATTAGAAAAGTTCTTTAGACTTAAAAGACAAACTTAAAAGGCAAACTTAAAAGACAGACCTAAAAGACAGACCTAAAAGACAGACTAAAAGATAGACATAAAAGACAGCCCTAAAAGATAGACATAAAATATTTCAAAGTTCTTTATCTTAGCTCTCCATCACCTGGAGAGTCGAAAGGCAAGTCCGAGTTAACAAGCACTATTCTCAAGCACTATTCGTTTTCTTTGAAAATTAATTGTTAACTAGTTTACTTACTTATTAACTAGTTTTGTTCTTTTTTGTAAATGCTTTTAAATTCATAACACAAAGTGTTCTCTCTGCCCAAAGTTTAAAAGCAAAAATTTTGATGCTCAAGTTTCCAATCGTATTTGCCTTCCTCCAATGTACTTGGAGACTATACTTGGAGACTCAAGTTTCCAATCCTCCAATGTACTTGAGTTTCCGTTGCACTCATGAAAATGCAATTGATTTGTTCATAAATTGATTTGCAATTGATTTGCAATTGATTTGCAATTGATTTGCAATTGATTTGCTTTTCCTAAATAATGATTGCCTTTGATTTCCCCATACTATTTCCTTTGTTTACATTTTTTCACATTACAATAGCTGATGGTCCAGAAGAGATTGATTACACCGAGTTTGGGGCTAGAAGTTGGTCAGCGCATCTTTTTGAAAACAAAATTTTTTAGCTGCATATTCGACTGCTGTCAACAACAACAATAAATTGTATTATGAGCTTTTTCAAAGACGAAATTATTATAAGGATTTAGCTCCAATAGAGGCAAATTTGAATGCAAGTTCGCCCGGTTTGTAAGGGTTTTTTCGAAAACGAAATCAAAGTTTCAGTTGATGAACGATTTGCGATTGTGATCAAGCTTCAACTGCTTGCATTGGTTGAGTTGGTAAGTGAATAAAATAAATAAAGCAATGTTGAGATGGCGAATATTAAAGCTAGCACATTATTTCAAGCCATATATCTTAAAATTTACCTTTCATGTGATTGTCTACAAAGTGTTCGACTTCTTTTAGTAGATTAGCTCTCAAGTGCCAAGTTCAACTCTAATTGTTAAGTGTTATATAAAATATTGAAGCCCTTAATCTTGGCTACATTTATGCATTAAAAGTTTCACGATTAGAGATATACAACTCATTTTACAAGCTCTTGAATAAGTACCAGTTATCCCTCTCCGGCATTTTGCCATTTTGTCGATTTTCCTCATAATAAATTGTCAGAAAAGGTTTTTCGATATTTATTTTATGTTAAAATGTTATTTAGTATTATTAAATGACACTAAGAACCGTTTTTGATCAAACCGTCTTCCTAAAGTTCAAGTTGAAATCAAGTTCCTTTAGTGGAAGCAAGGAAAGAAGTGAAAATTGCGTATTTTTTAATGTTTATTTCATACGTGCTCCTCGTTATATTGCCTGATCTGGTGCTATAAATTTGTTGGAAAGAATTGCCATAAATTTCTTTCTTTCTTTTCTTTTCTTTCTTTCTGAGAAAAGAAATTCTTCCTGATTGAAGAATTTTTTATGAAGAAAAGCCAAAAATGGCGGATCCACTAGCATTCATTCCAAGGCTTGTAAAATGAGTTGTATAAATCCAATCGGGAAACTTTTAATACATAAATGTAGCCAAGATTAAGGGCTTCATTATTTTATATAACACTTAATGCATTAGGATTCAACTTGAAGCTTGGGAGCTAATCTGACACCTAAACACTGACACCCTGTAGGATGTAGTTCGTCAAACACTACGGGCCTACATTGAGGTAGAGATGGGATGGCAAGATATACGATTGGCTTGGAATCGATCTGCTTATGATATTGGACTTCTTTGGGTGCATTGTGATTCGATTTGGACACCCGAGGACTTTGTGACGAATACGTGAGTTTTGAAGTTTATGAAACTTAAAATTATGTTTATGAAACTTAAAATTACACCTCTTTTGAAAATGTTGCTGGCAAACACCTGACTTATTACCAAAATGCTAACTGTTATATAGAAAAATAAAGCCCTTGATCTTGGCATCATTTATCTACAAAGAACTTGCAGATTTGAGTTCTACAACTCATTTTACAAGCTCTTGAAAGAGCTCAAGTCGGCCTCTCTCCTCTGCCATTTTTGACACTTTTTGACACACAATATTTTCATCTAGAAAAGAATTCCTTCAATCAAACTTGTGGTATTTTACTTTAAAAGTACCATTGAACAAAAATATAACGCTAGTGAAGCTTATACAGCAAGATCTTCTTGTCAAATGGATATTCGAAAAAACTCAATTTTTCCCTTTTTTGCAGAGTTTCCAAATGAAAGAAATCAACCCCAATTTTGGCTATTATACGTTCCTAGGTGTAAACGGATGTGGACTAGAATTTGGGTTAAGTTTATGATGATGATTCATGATTATGATGATGATTAAATGAGTCAATAATAACATTAGTAACTAAAATATCAGTTTGGCTTGGAGCTGACACTATGAAAGTTTGACAAAAGAGCTTGCTATTATTCTTATTGCTACTAAATAATATTAAATGTGATTTTCACATGAAATAAAACTTTTAAACAATTTTTTTAGAAAAGTGTCAAAAACAAAAATGGCAGAGGAGAGAGGCCGACTTGAGCTCATTCAAGGGCTTGTAAAATGAGTTGTATAATTCCAATCGGGAAGTTCTTTGTAGATAAATGATGCCAAGATCAAGGGCTTTATTTTTCTATATAACACTTGGTACTTTGGTAATAAGTCAGGCGTCAGGGCGTCATTTTAGGTTATCTGATTTTAGGCAAATCAGATAACACTACGGAATTGAGCGATACAGTAATACAAGCGCGAAAACGTTTGTGCCAAACTCTTGGTGTTAGCTAGTTGACTTTGGATCAAGCAAATTCATAGCTCTCAAGCTGAAGCAACTGAGCGTTTTAAGTCGTTGTTTACTTTTTTGTTCCTCACCGTTTAGTGGGGGAGAATTATCGTGATGGTAGGTGATGAATCTCCACTTTTCTCCAGGCGTCAGGAACATTCCAAAAGAGGTGTCACCATAATTCGCGATCACCCTGAACTAGTGACTTGACTTGACTAGCGAGCAGACTTGAATATTGAGAAAATAGAAAACAATGCAATAGCAATAGAAGATAAACATGATTCATTTCACTTCCAGAATTCAAATCACCGAGGTTTATCCGGATCGCTTTAAACAATGTCGATTTGATCACAACGGAAGCGTGTATTACGATCAAGTCTTTTTAGGCGATTTCACCTGCCCAATGGATGTAAAAGATGAGCATTTTACTGATGGTAAAAAATCATTTCCAGATAAGCAAGTTTCCATTTGATACCCAAGATTGCACGCTTCAATTCGGCTCTAATTCCTATCAATGGTTTCGTATTAACCAAACCGGAGAGCTCTTCACCAAATACAAGGATTATTCTGTTGTGGTAAATATTGTTTTGATGTTTATGTTGTAGTTGACTTTGATAGAGTTAAAGAACAAGTTTATTGAGAACAGGATGCTTTGTTTATTGAAAACAAGTTAAACAGAATGCTTCTCTGACCAAAATGCTCGTATTCAGGGAAATAGTGAGTTCGGCTCTACGAATTGCACTATGAGAACGGAGACGGCCATTGGCACAATGGATACCATCTACCAATCAGTGATCAATTGTCTAGATTTACTATTTAAAAGCTTTTAGATTATATTTGACCTCAAATTGAAGCGTGAACCAAACTTCTATATCTATGTGATCGCTCTACCGTCGTTCTTGTTGACCTTTCTCTCGATAATTGGCTGCTTCTGGACACCAAATGTTAAAGAAGAGCAATTGACTAAGGTAAAGCCGATTACAAAGCGATTAGGAAATTGTTTAGTCAAATTTTGTTTAATTTTTGCTTTACTGAAAACCAACTTGCGACCTTTTTCCGTGAAAATCTTGGGTTGACGCTTTAAAGCATGGTAAATCTACCGTATCCTTCCTAATTTGCAAGAAAAGAAAGCGCAATTTCATTCTTTCATTCTCTTTCTTCGTTTATTTCATTCTTTTTGCCGATTTCTGTTGTGGGTTTTCTTCGTATTCTTTATGAGTGATGATGACATAACTTTGGCTTGGTTTGCAGAAGAGATCAGTACCTTCAAAACGGAGAAACTTCTTTGCAAATGGCACATTATCTACACAAAAGAGCGCTATTTTAATCGTCTTACAAAAGTAGTTTTACAAACCAACATCTATATATAATGCAAGATGGTTTTTTATGAAACAAAAAAAAGAAACTTAGCGAATTCCTTGCAGAAAAAATGAAAAAACATCAGCTGATTTGGCGGTTTGGCTTGGCTTGGTTTAGGCTTGAGATTTGGCTGGATGAATCGGGCACGACGCATACCGGATTCTCTAATAGTAGGGGCGAGCCGAGTTGATGACTATTTTACGGTTTCCAAGTTTTCACAGACGCTTAACACTCTAATCCCCCACTAGATCTCATCGTCAGCTACATTTTCCGACCCCACCTCGATAGGTTCTGATAAGCGGTTTTCCGAGATTTCGAGCAATTTTGGCAACGCTCAGGCTGCACTACTATTAGAGAAAATACGGTATGCCAGAACTATGGAAATCTTTAGAAGGATAATATTTGTTAAATAAGAAGCAAAAATGCTCAGCCATTGCTTAATTGGACGAAAACACCGCACTGTGTTACTATTAGAGAAAATCGGTACGATATTGTATCAATGAAAGCAATTGTTGGGTGCACTACTATTAGAGAGAATATGGTATTTTAAAATCCGCTAATGGACGCTAATAGAATAACCTATGAGTAGTAGTGTAGAGTACAAATTTGGAATGGGTTAATTTGCAATTTCCGCTGAATATCTGCAATCTTTGAGCACAGTTTCCCTTCTTAAATGCAAATTTGGAGTAAATTTTAAAGTCGAATAACCGGCGGGAAATGGCGTTTTTTACAAATAGACTTCAGATTCGGAATCAGCGAATTTGTTTATTATAAAATTGGAGTTTACAGCCGCCTAGCTCAATTTCCTGAATCAAAGCCTTGGACAGACAGACAGACAAACGGCGTTATATACAGTACTGGACAAAAGATAATCCTCGCGAATTTTTTTTCATCTTTGAAGAGCTATAGCTCCGAGCCTTTCCATCGTAAAATAAAAGTGTTATAGTGGTTCTGAAAGCTTAAAACGAGCTCTATAAGGTGATGTATTCGCTTTTTAAAACTATTTTAATTTTTGACACATTTCGGGGTGCGCAAAATAGGGTTTGAAAAACAACATTTTCAGCGCTGTTTTTTTTGTTGACGCCATGCTCTAATCATCTTGAAACCGTGTTTTTTGGCAAGGACATGCAAAATTACCCTTAGAAACCTTCAATTTGAGTACTTATTGCTGTATCAAAGTTCTAAAAAAATCAAATTCGCATTACCGTCACCCTAAATAATCAGAAGACAGAATTACTGGAAGACAGAATCAGAATGAGCGGTGTAAGGACGCTTGAGTGCAGAAATACGTAAAAAAAGAATGAAACTGCGTTTTTTTATACATTTAAATTTGAAGCAGTACGCTAGTTTTACCACGCTTTAAACCGCCAACTCAGGATTTTCTCGAAAAAAGGTCGCAATTGGAAACCAAACACTTCTAGTTGAGCGTCGCTTTGACGAGCATGATGTCAATGACGACTTTGATCGATTTGGTGTCACAGGAAATGCCAAAAACTAAAAAGTTTCCATTACTTGGTAAGCTTTAAAGAGAAATCAGATTTGCACAAGTAAAAAACAATTCCATTTGTTTAACTACAATATTTTAGTCTTTGTTTTTGACTTTAGGGACTCTTCAAGCCGACAAATTCAACAATCAGGTCACTTATTTAGGTATCTTCATCCTTGCTTGTGTTTTCATCACATCAATCTCCTGTGTGGTGCTTGTAATCCTCCCGGAGAAAAGGAAACAAAAAATTCATGAAAAAGACCTACAAATGAAGTTATTTATTGTTTAAAGCAAGATCAAAGCGTTTTAGGAATTTGTTCATGGAGAAGCTCAAGCGATTTTTCATTTCAAGACATTTCAGCCTTTTTATCCTTTTTCAGGGTAGCAATATCATCAATTTTATTGTTTTCATGTCGTTTTGGGAATAAATAAGAAAGCTAAGAAAGCTTGAATCACCAGAAATGCAAACAGAAACAAAATAAACAAAATAAAGTAATATTTACCAACATTTTTAAAACAAAACAAATAAGGAATGAAGTCCGAAAGTAACGAAGTCCGAAAGCAGCGAAGTCCGAAAATTCAGTGTCCAGAGAGTTGTTTATGCACATTTGGAACGTAGTCATCGTATTTTGCCTAAGATTTGAATACTTTTCAATGGGTAAAGCATTTTGAATAGGTAAAGCATTCAAAATTTGAATCTTAAATTGATTTTCATTCTACCTGATAAAAATTCCCAGCCACTAGGCTCATATTGTGTTTTTGAGCGAATGTGGCCGCACTCCAATTCGGGCGGCCATCCGATGAGTTGTTCGGTGTCTGAAATTCGTTTTGAAAATGTAGATAAAATGTAGATAAAGACAAATATTACACAACATAAGCCTTATAAGGAAAAAGAAGGGTTTTTAAAAACAATTTCACTTACTTACTAATTTACTAGGGAACTTTTTCAACTTACCACCGATTTTCGGAACCGGACCTAACCTATCTTGTGCAGTTTTTCACGCTGATTCCGATCAGGAAAAGTTCTTTACAGCATCGGAATCAGCGTAAAAAAACTACACAGGATAGGCTAGGTCTGGTTGAGAAAATCGATGGTAATTTGAAACAGTTCCCTAGTAAATTAGTAAGTAAGTAAAATTGTTTTTAAAAGTTAGGCCAATCTCCCACCTGAAAGCCAGCATCAACTTTTCCATTCTGTTTGAAGAGAAGGAACACGTAGCGGTGAAGACCTAACAACATTTGCATACCTAAGTATTGTTTTCATTTACCTGTATCCTTTGGTGGTCCAGATCCAACATATCCAGCAGCTTCATCGCCTTTCTCAACCTGATTCCCAGGAATGTTGACCACTACCCAATGCTTGAACTCACGGCGAGTTGGGTTTGCTCTTGATGGAGCATCGGGATCTGAGAAAAGTTGGCTTATTGGGTATTGGGTTTTACATCCACAACGGCTCAACTAGGAATAAATAATAGACTTGTAACGAAAACATCTTCGACTTGTAACTTGTCAGTCCTTTTTTTCTTAGGCAACTAAGGGTTTCTAGTTTTTCTCAGCACCACCCCTTCGATTTTTGACTATTTTGTCTATCATTTGATGCAGAATAAAATTGCGCATTGAATGATACCAAAATTAACTCAAAATGTAATATCTATGCAAAGTTATGAGGCAAAAGGTTAAGTCCCGCCCATAATGGGCCGGGTTTAGGTTTATAGCCAAAGTTGAAGCTTGAGAGTACTGATAATAAACATTAAAATACTTTTTGTACCTGTCAAAATCAAAGTGTACAGGGCATCGGATAAAGCATCCCAAGTAACGGTCGGTTTTTCCTTGACTTGAGTTGGAGTGAGCTCATTTCCAAAATCGGCCTAGATCGTCTTGTGATCGTCTTGTGAATCACCTTTTGGAAAAACAAGACAGTAGCTCTATTTCCAACCTTGACCCCATTTTTATACGTGACTCCAAGAATATCTTTTGGTGGAACGGAGATCACATCGGGTACAACTCCATCTGTCGTGAAAGCTTCTAATCCGGTTGCCATTGCGCTGAATTTCTTAAAAAAATGAGCAGAAAATTGAGGCTTTACAGCAAGGAATATGGTTTTGAATAACATCTAAAACAGGTAAACTTGTAACTTTATTTTATAGTAAATCAAAAAAATGCTTTAAATGAGTCCAAGTCCATAGTTTTAATCAAATGCAAAAGCATATGCTCAAATTTAAAAGCTAAAACCATACCTGGAAAATAAGGCAGTGAAGAAAAGGGTGAAAAACAAAAACATATTCCGAGAAAGGAGCATTGATCGAATCCCCGTTGGGAGAGTGCTTGTTTACGAGTGGTGGATGGGGAAAAAGAGCTTTTGCAAAAGGGAACGCTAAAAGGGCACGTAAACAATTGACGGATTGTTTTCAAGGCAAAGGAAAGATAATCTTTTTTGAAATAACTTGCGATTGCAATTATAATCAACATTTGTAGATCTCAATTTAATCTACGAGAGATTTGTCAGAAAAGATTTGGACTCCAGGCTCACAATCAGATTCTAGTAAAATATTACCGTCCCCTTTTGCCGTTTCGTCACATGCAAATATGTTTTTGAAAGTGCTCTCTTCGAATTTCTGGTTCACGTTTAGGAAATGGTTGACCAGAACTTTTCCAAATTTGCTAGGAAGCTTTTGACATGTTGTGGTCGCCGCTCTCAATGAGAATTCCTTTAGAAATGATTCCATCCAACCGTGTCTTCTTTTGAAGAGAATCTCTGTTTCTATGGTTTGGCTTTTGCAAAATTGTAAATAAAAGAGAGGCTCATTACTGATTGATTCACCTAATAACTCTTAAGTTTTTCCTGCAAGTACCAATCACAGGAATTTTTTGTTTACAAGAATTGTATGTGAAATTGATTTTTTGCATTACAAAATCCATGTATCTCAATTCAATTTAATCGATCTCTCGCGTTTGGGCGTTTTCGTTTGACATGAAAACGATTTTATTTACAGGCACTGAAATAGCAACGATCAAAACTAGAATATCACAGATTTAAGCTATGAACTAGTTTAGGTTTTGTTTATTGTTACAAATTTGCCGGACGGAACTGATTCTTCGCCTCTCGAAGCTTGGCCATTACATCGACTGGACTGATTGCTGAGACCTGAAGAAAAATTTTTGAATCAAATGCAAACTTTGATGCAAGCTTACCTGTTTTTGTATCTCATTACTATTAACTCTCATGAACGGATTGATCTTCTTCTCTTCACCGATTGTCGACGGGACTGTCGGCTGCTTTTTGGCGTCACAATCGAGAGAGAACTTCAGCTTTGCAATCACATCCTAGAATAGAGTGTGTTCCTCGTGACGCTTTCTAATTCACTCTATCGTCATAGTCGTAGTTATTTAGAAGAATTTTCGTACCTGATTGTTTGGCTCAATGTGTTTAGCAAATTTGAGATTGCTTGAGGTGTATTCATGTCCTGGATAAACACGAGTATCATCGGGTAGTGAAGCCAGGACTTCGTTCAGATTTCGTTGCATTTGTTCAGCAGTACCTAAAACAAATTAAATCTTCTGAAAACTGATTTGAACTGAAACTGAAAACTGTTAAATGGCACTGCTTCGTTTTAAAGGAAATGTAAGGCATATGAAAATCTGATGAGCATGAATTTGATGAATATTGAATTCTATTAATATTCTATTTCTAGTCACAATCCTATTTCTAGTCACAATCCAACTCCAAATCCAACACCAAACCCACCCTCAAAGAATTTCCCACAGCCAGCAATGAACAACGTGTCTCCGGTAAGCACAACTCGTTCATTCCCTCGTTCAACATAATAACAGATGTGTCCTTTTGTGTGACAAGGAGTCGAGAGAGCTCTTGTCTAAAGTTTTGTTTTGAAAAACTGCTTAAATGATTGACTTTAGCTATGGTTGCTTAAATGTACCCTCAAGCCTTTGAAACAATTATTAGGCGGTTCAAAACGTTCCTTTTCGTACTTTTTGTTGAAAAATAACAAATTCGCCAATTGCTTATGGTTTGTTCTAAATAAAAAGTGTTTATTGTTCAATTTCCCATTATTTTAAGTCAATTTCGCCTCAATTTCAAGCAAATTCGAGAGTGAAAACGTGGATGTCAAATGAAAATGTCAAATAAAAATGTCCAACCTTCAATCCTCCAAACTCGAAATGATCTTCATGCTTTAAATGAACATCTAAACAATCGATTCGAGCATCTCCGCCATAGATTTTGATCGACGGGTCTGGGTACAATTCCTGAAGTTTTCAATGTTTTGTCGAACTTCATTGAACCAAACTCTAAACTGCTTCATTCCACCAGCGTGATCCCAATGATGATGCGTGACAAGCGCTGCACAAATTGATAGCTGAATCGTTTTCTTGGGTAAGTTTGGAAGCTGAAGTTGAATTAACATCAAATATTTAGCAACTCACCGACAATTCATTAGCTATCTTCTGTATTTTTTCAGGTTCGACTGGATCCACGGCAGCCGCGTGTTTCTGCAATAGTAAAAGTTGTAATTTATCCAAAATTCTAGATTACATCAAACCTTTTCTGAATCAAATACTAGATACATGTAATTGTCCTCAAGTGCGGGCACAGGGATAACTTGAAGCATTCTGTTGATCGAAATCTGCTTTGCCGCTCGCAAAACTGAGAAATACATTAACACTGAATGAGAACGGTTTTGAAACGATTATGAAACGGTTATGAAACGATTTAAAAACGATTATAAAACGATTATAAACGATTATAAACGATTATAAACGATTATGAACGATTATGAACGATTTTATTATGCAATGAAAAGAAAAAAAAACAATTTCAAGCAAAAGCAGGTAAGCTCAAACTGTTTTCAGAAACTTTTCATTTGAATGAGCTCTCTGATAAACTTTGACGGATAAACAGGGGTACTGTAGAAGATCCACGATAAGAAATGCTTTACAAATGTAAGTTTAAGTAAAAGTGAGGTAAAGTGAAAAGTTTGGGGGTGGGACAAATGCGACCTTTTTTTTGCGCAACTGGACATTTGCGCACCTTTTTTTTGCTGCAAAAGGCCTTAGACAAGGCCGTAGAGCTTCGAAAATATTTCCATACAAGGGAATCGTATGCGTAGATTCCGAATTTCGATAAATCAGACCTCGCTGACACGTCAAATTTGGGCTAAAAGGCAAAAACTGCGGAAAAGCGTTAAGTTGCGTAGTTTTTGCCTTTTAGCCCAAATTTGACGTGTCAGCGAGGTCTGATTTGTCGAAATTCGGAATCTACGCATACGATTCCCTTGTATGAATACATTTTTGAAGCTCTACGACCTTTCCTAAGGCCTTTTCCAGCAAAAAAAGGTGCGCAAATGTCCAGGTGCGCAAAAAAAAGTT